ATTTTTTAGTTATTAGAATCCTATAGGATTTTTTGAGTAGTGGTGTTCGCGTGTGCACACATGCATGTGTGTCTGCTGTGATCACAAGTTTTCTACCACTCCTTTTTGGAGGCTGCGGGTCACAAGAAATGTAAAACCACTGGGAAACATGATAGTGGCAACAAATGTTGGGTTGGATATAGTAATGGTAGGATGCAGTATTTCTTACAATCTTCTATTTTGACTGGAATTGTGTTGGTCATTGTTCATAAGTGCAGCATTTATTCCAGTTCAAAATAGTTTAGCAAAATACTTTACTCATCAGATAGTGCTGCTTTCCCCTCTTCTTGTAATAATTGCTCAATGAGTCTGTGACCGGGGGAAGTATTTTTTGGGGTAACTTCCTTTCATCTGCAAATATGAGCCAGCTAGTAACATTAGCCTACTACATCTAGCTACATATTGAACTACCATCCTCTCAGGCCAGGGGCACAATGTATGAATTTATGGTTGGATCAGGATCACTGTTACAGTGAGGGAAAAAAAGTATTTGATCCCCTGCTGATTTTGTACGTTTGCCCAATGAAAAAGACATGATCAGTCTATAATTTTAATGGTAGGTTTATTTGAACAGTGAGAGACAGAATAACAACAAAAAAATCCAGAAAAACGCATGTCAAAAATGTTATAAATTGATTTGCATTTTAATGAGGGAAATAAGTATTTGACCCCTCTGCAAAACATGACTTAGTACTTGATGGCAAATCCCTTGTTGGCAATCACAGAGGTCAGACGTTTCTTGTAGTTGGCCACCAGGTTTGCACACATCTCAGGAGGGATTATGTCCCACTCCTCTTTGCAGATCTTCTCCAAGTCATTAAGGTTTCGAGCCTGACATTTGGCAACTCGAACCTTCAGCTCCCTCCACAGATGTTCTATGGTATTAAGGTCTGGAGACTGGCTAGGCCACTCCAGGACCTTAATGTGCTTCTTCTTGAGCCACTCCTTTGTTGCCTTGGCCGTGTGTTTTGGGTCATTGTCATGCTGGAATACCCATCCACAACCCATTTTCAATGCCCTGGCTGAGGGAAGGAGGTTCTCACCCAAGATTTGACGGTACATGGCGCCATCCATAGTCCCTTTGATGCAGTGAAGTTGTCCTGTCCCCTTAGCAGAAAAACACCCCCAAAGCATAATGTTTCCACCTCCATGTTTGACGGTGGGGATGGTGTTCTTGGGGTCATAGGCAGCATTCTTCCTCCTCCAAACACGGCGAGTTGAGTTGATGCCAAAGAGCTCGATTTTGGTCTCATCTGACCACAACACCTTCACCCAGTTCTCCTCTGAATCATTCAGATGTTCATTGGAAAACTTCAGATGGCCCTGTATATGTGCTTTCTTGAGCAGGGGGACCTTGCAGGCGCTGCAGGATTTCAGTCCTTCACAGCGTAATGTGTTACCAATTGTTTTCTTGGTGACTATGGTCCCAGCTGCCTTGAGATCATTGACAAGATCCTCCCGTGTAGTTCTGGGCTGATTCCTCACCGTTCTCATGATCATTGCAACTCCACGAGGTGAGATCTTGCATGGAGCCCAAGGCCGAGGGAGATTGACAGTTATTTTGTGTTTCTTCCATTTGCGAATAATCGCACCAACTGTTGTCACCTTCTCACCAAGCTGCTTGGCGATGGTCTTGTAGCCCATTCCAGCCTTGTGTAGGTCTACAATCTTGTCCCTGACATCGTTGGAGAGCTCTTTGGTATTGGCTATGGTGGAGAGTTTGGAATCTGATTGATTGATTGCTTCTGTGGACAGGTGTCTTTTATACAGGTAACAAACTGAGATTAGGAGCACTCCCTTTAAGAGTGTGCTCCTAATCTCAGCTCGTTACCTGGATAAAAGACACCTGGAAGACAGAAATCTTTCTGATTGAGAGGGGGTCAAATACTTATTTCCCTCATTAAAATGCAAATCAATTTATAACATTTTTGACATGCGTTTTTCTTGATTTTTTTGTTGTTATTCTGTCTCTCACTGTTCAAATAAACCTACCATTAAAATTATAGACTGATCATGTCTTTGTCAGTGGGCAAACTTACAAAATCAGCAGGGGATCAAATACCTTTTCCCCTCACTGTATAATCATTGGCCAGTACTGAGAATTAAGTAAAACCACAAGTCCAAATCCCTATCTCCATCCATGGCTAATAGGAAAGGGACAATTTTAGCTAGCTAGCTAGCCACCGGGGGACAACGACAGAACAAGATGCAACAATTCAAGTTTTCTGTCAATTACGTTTTGCTTTTGATGTGATGTGATTGGTGTGAAGCCAAATCCGAACACACTTTTTTTTTGTGAGCCAGGACCATTCACAGTTGAGCTCACTCAGTCTAGCTCAACACTGATTGGCTATTATTTTATACTTTATACTTTATCAAGGGAGGTAAAATGCTCGCTGGCTTCCCTTGCATTCAACGCTACGGGCAGCAACAATGTCATACTCATCTTGACCAGACAGCATCAGATAGATGGGCTACACATACAGAAACAGAGGGGCGCTGTTTCGCTAGCTCGGATGCTTTTTCCGGTGAAATACACTATATATACAAAAGTATGTGGACACCCCTTCAAATTAGTGGATTCGGCTATTTCAGCCACACCCGTTGCTGACAGGTGTATAAAATCGAGCACACAGACATGCAATCTCCATAAACAAGCATTGGCAGTAGAATTGCCATACTGAAGAGCTCAGTGACTTTCAACGTGGCACCGTCATAGTATGCCACCTTTCCAACAAGTCAGTTCATCAAATTTCTGCCCTGCTAGAGCTGCCCCGGTCAACTGTAAGTGCTGTTAATGTGAAGTGAAAACGTCTAGGAGCAACAACGGCTGAAGTGGTAGGCCACACAAGCTCACAGAACAGGACCGCCGAGGGCTGGAGCACATCAAAATCATCAGTCCTCTGTTGCAGCACTCACTAGCAAGTTCCAAACTGCCTCTGGAAGCAGCGTCAGCACAAGAACTGTTCGTCGGGAGCTTCATTAAATTGTTTTTTTATGGCCCAGCAGCCGCACACAAGCCTAAGATCACCATGTGCAATGCCAAGCGTCGGCTGGAGTGGTGTAAAGCTCGCCGCCATTGGACATTGGAAACGTGTTCTCTGGAGTGATGAATCACTCTTCACCATCTGGACAATTATGAAACACAGAGAGACGAAACATACATTATTTTTCTTTTTTTTCATGGTAAATTTTTTGGGGAAGCCTGGCTTCCCTTGGCATCCATTAATATAGGCCACTGCATGCCAGCCAAAAGGTTGGTGCAAGGCCCTGTACTGACCTATAGGCTTACTAGAAAATTACCTGTGTGCAATTATGCATTAATTACAATCAGTAATTCAAATTAATTTCAAAATCAGTCATCTAAATTAATTTCTAAATTAATGGTATTGGCTACCATTTGAATGACCGATTTTAATGAATGACATCAAATGGACTTAATATCAAAGATTATATTAGGTCCATCCATAGATATTTGTATATATTATGGCTGCAGCAGTAGCCTACTGTCATTACATAATAGAAATCCCCATTGTAATAGCTCAACTAAAGTGTGGCTGACGTCGAAAGCCACACTAATCATACAGGCTTGCAGCATCCCAACTCATCACATGACCATCCCCCAGCAGATGGTTTGCGTGATGTCACATTGATTCGTGAGGAGAGCGCCTTTCGTTCGATCTGGAGAAATTCTGAAGGATTTTATCACAAGTAAGCTAATTCATAACCGATTAAATCTATATATGTAAATGTTAATTTTACAGACAGAACGGTATCAAACAGAAATATATTGTTATGGTGAATTTGAACGTGCTGTCATCTTGCGCGAGTCCTCACCTTGAGAACATTTCCTCTCTGGTCCATGCACTTCAGCTGATGATGCGATGCGGCTTGGTTCTGCCATAAGCTATTAGGTGTTGTTTAAAATAATAGTGATAGACCTACTGTACTCTATTTCATCCCGAATCAAATGGAAGAAATTGCAAATAATGTCAGTCGACCATCAATCGACGATGTTTGAATCATTCTGTATTTGCATTAGACCGTAGGCCTAATAACCATAGATCTTCAGTCAAAATATAACCGTTTGTGATAAAAACGAAATTCATTATGTATTCATAAGACTCAAATGTTTCTCTCAGTGACCATCAAACACAGGTGCTATCTATTTATTTCGTCGTCATTTTGGTTGAAATATGGCTATAGCCGGTCATTTCAAGCAATATTTTATAGACGTGTCCTCATAATTTTCAATTTGCCTACATAATTGTTAGAAACACGTATATAAATTCATCAACAATATTCCTATCATTATTCCCCGTGTTCACCGTTGCCTTCATCATATTATGAAAGATGCTCAATAGTCTACTGGTAGCCTACAGCAGCAACATCATAATGGCGTCCTTGAGATGAAGGACAGTGCGGCAGAGAAGACGCTCGAGCGAACGACGTCGCTTTCTCAAATTGAGAGAACATTTGATATTTTAACGATTGAACGTAATATGCTTTATGTTATTTCCAATATTTTAGAAATGTAGTAGAATATAGCTAACCTATATGAATTATGTTCGGGTTGACTACCTGGGCAGCGGATATATAGGTTTATGATAGCATCTTTACGAACGAGTAGGATTTCCATTGGACACGGACAGTTAATCCTCATATCCGTGTTGACTGATAGTGATGACAGTCCTTTCACATCTGGAAAGAAAAAGGAAGCCATAGAATTAGAAAAATGACACACACATATATATATATATATATATAGGTCGAATATATATTCCAATTGATAGGCCTACTGCTCTTGAATTGTTCAAGCTAGAGACACACCAAACCAACTTTGTTCAGTCTATTCTCTATCTGTCTGTCTGTCTCTCTGTCCTAGTCATTTTGCCCTTAATTTTGCCAACAGGGGTATTTTTTTTTAAACCTTAAAGGGGTGAGTGTGTCAGGTGGTCACCATGGGGGAACTGTTCAGGAGCGAGGAGATGACGCTTGCCCAGCTCTTCCTCCAGTCTGAGGCAGCCTACTGCTGTGTCAGCGAGCTGGGAGAACTGGGAATGGTTCAGTTCCGCGATGTAAGTAACATACCAGTCATCTATCTATAAAAAAACATATTTAACCTTTATTTAATTAAACAGGAAGTCCGATTGTGGTCAGAAGACCTCTTTCCCAAGGGAGACCTGGCCAAGAATGGCAACTGTGACACCTGTTTCTGTTGTTTGAATTTTTAGCTCAACCCAGACGTGAATGTGTTCCAGAGGAAGTTTGTGAATGAAGTGAGGAGGTGTGAGGAGATGGACAGGAAACTAAGTGAGTGATTTCATAATATGTTGAATGAATACATTTTATTTGACATATTTAATATACATATAGACCTGTGTCAGCCAAGTTAGCCAACAATACATAAAATGTTTTTGAGAATTAAAAACACAGTAAGTGTTACACAATAAAGACATTTCCATTGTGGTCCTCCCTATTTCTAGGTGGGTAACATAATGGACAGCTTGGACAAAACATAGCATATAATACCACATGAAGTACATGTTTTAATAAACTCAATACAAAGTCCCATCAAGCCCCAAAATATTACATATACAGTGCATTCGGAAAGTATTCAGACCCCTTGACTTTTTCCACATTTTGTTATGTTACAGCCTTATTCTAAAATTAAATATTTTTTTCTCTCTCAATCTACACACAAAACCCCATAATGACAAAGCAAAAACAGGTTTTTAGAATTATTTGCAAATGTATTAACAATAAAAACGGAAATATTACATTTACATAAGTATTCTGACACTTTACTCAGGACTTTGTTGAAGCACCTTTGTCACGATCGTCGTTACAGGAAGCGGACCAAGGCGCAGCGTGTGATACAAACATGACTTTATTTTATAAAGTACTCACAAACCAAACAAAACACGACTCGTGAAGTCCAACGGCTAACACTGACCGTAAAGGAACAAAAACCCACAACACCCACAGGAAAACATACAGATTAAATATGGCTCCCAATCAGAGATAACGAGCCGACAGCTGACACTCGTTACCTCCGATTGGGAGTCATTGACCAAACATAGAAATGAACTCAACAGAAATACAAACATAGAAATACACCCAAATAATGAACACACCCTGGCTCAAATTAAGAGTCCCGGAGCCAGAGCGTGACAGTACCCCCCCCTAAAGGCGCGGACTGCGACCGCGCCTCAACTAACCAAAACAGGGGAGGGCTGGGCGGGCATACCTCCTCGGTGGCGGTTCTGGCTCCGGCCTTGATCCCCACCTCCTCTCCAACCCCCCAAAGTACCCCTGGTCCTGTCTAGCCCCGCCGGCCGGAGCCAGACTGACGACACGCGCCCCTGGCTTGGTGCGTGGAGGACGAACGGGCCTTACCAGGCTGACGACGCGCACCACTGCCTTGGCGCGGGGAGCAGGAACGGGCCGGACCGGGCTGATGAAGCGCACCCCTGACTTGGTGCGGAGAGCAGGACCGGACCGGACAGGGCTGACGACACGCACCACAGACTTGGTGCGGGGAGCAGGATTGGGCCGGACCGGGCTGATGAAGCGCACCCCTGACTTGGTGCGGAGAGCGGGACCGGACCGGACAGGGCTGACGACACGCACCACAGACTTGGTGCGGGGAGCAGGATTGGGCCGGACAGGGCTGACGAAACGCACCACCAACTTGGTGCGTGGAGCAGGAACAGGTCGGGCAGGGCTGTCGACGCACACCGTAGACCTAGTGCGTGGAGCAGGAACAGGCCGGGCTGGGCTGGCGACGCACACCGTAGTTCTAGTGCGTGGAGCAGGAACAGGCCGGGCTGGGCTGGCGACGCACACCGTAGTTTTAGTGCGTGGAGCAGGAACAGGCCGGGCTGGGCTGGCGACGCACACCGTAGTTCTAGTGCGTGGAGCAGGAACAGGCCGGGCTGGGCTGGCGACGCACACCGTAGTTCTAGTGCGTGGAGCAGGAACAGGCCGGGCTGGGCTGGCGACGCACACCGTAGTTCTAGTGCGTGGAGCAGGAACAGGCCGGGCTGGGCTGGCGACGCACACCGTAGTTCTAGTGCGTGGAGCAGGAACAGGCCGGGCTGGGCTGGCGACGCACACCGTAGGTCTAGTGCGTGGAGCAGGAACAGGCCGGGCTGGGCTGTGGAGACGGATAGGAGACCTAGAGCGAAGAGCGGCCACCACCCGTCCTGGCTGGATGCCTACCCTCACACACTCTGCGTGAGGCATCCGCACAGGACGTACAGGGCTGTGAACCCGTACCGACATGACAGCACGCGATACGGGAGCAGGATATCCGGGACCGCGGAGAGGCACTGGAGACCTCGAGCGTAGATCCGGCACACTCCGTCCTGGCTGCATCCCCCCCTTCGCACGACACGTGCGGGGTGCTTGCACAGGACGTACAGGACTGTGCCGGACCACTCGTGGCACAGTACGCTGCTCCGCACACCGCGGAACCTGCCCCGTCCCACGCTGCCATGCCTGAGTACGGGAAGTTGGTTCCGCTCTACCTCCAGGCCTCGCCAACCTGCCTTCTGCCTCCCAACACCCGGTGACCACCTCTCCAAAACGTCCTGTAGCAGCCGCCTGCTGCCCAGCCGCCCAAGCCATGTGCCCCCCCCAAAAAACTTTTAGGGGTTGCCTCTCGTCCTTCCGACGATGGCCCTGCTGACGCCGTTGCTCCTCTCCTGCCAGGTTCTCCCCCTTCATCGCCCTCCGGTACCGGACGGCCTCCTCCTGCGTAATATGTCCCCAGCCGAGGAGGACATCCACCAGCGTTCTCTCCTGCGGGTGTTCCGGTATACGCTGCTTGGTCCTTTTGTGGTGGGTTTTTCTGTCACGATCGTCGTTACAGGAAGCGGACCAAGGCGCAGCGTGTGATACAAACATGACTTTATTTTATAAAGTACTCACAAACCAAACAAAACACGACTCGTGAAGTCCAACGGCTAACACTGACCGTAAAGGAACAAAAACCCACAACACCCACAGGAAAACATACAGATTAAATATGGCTCCCAATCAGAGATAACGAGCCGACAGCTGACACTCGTTACCTCCGATTGGGAGTCATTGACCAAACATAGAAATGAACTCAACAGAAATACAAACATAGAAATACACCCAAATAATGAACACACCCTGGCTCAAATTAAGAGTCCCGGAGCCAGAGCGTGACAACCTTTGGCAGCGATTACAGCCTCAATTCTTCTTGGGTATGACACTAAAAGCTTGGCACACCTGTATTTGGGGAGTTTCTTCTCTGCAGATCCTCTCAAGCGCTGTCAGGTTGGATGGGGAGCATCGCTGCACAGCTATTTTCAGGTCTCTCCAGAGATGTTCGATCTGGTTTAACTCCAGAGATGTTCGATCAGGTTTAAGTCCGGGCTCTGGCTGGGCCACTCAAGGACATTCAGAGACATGTCCCCAAGCCACTCCTGTGTTTTCTTGGCTGTGTGCTTAGGGTCGTTGTCCTGTTGGAAGGTGAACCTTCGCCCCAGTCTGAGGTTCTGAGCGCTCTGGAGCAAGTTTTCATCAAGGATCTCTGTACTTTGCTCCGTTCATCTTTCTCTCAAACCTGACTAGTCTCCCAGTCCCTGGTGCTGAAAAACATCCCCACAGCATGATGCTGCGACCACCATGCTTCACCGTAGGAATGGTGCCAGGTTTCTTCCAGACGTGACGCTTGGCTTTCAGGCCAAAGAGTTCAATCTTGGTTTCATCAGACCAGAGAATCTTGTTTCTCATGGTCTGAGAGTCCTTTAGGTGCCTTTTGGCAAACTCCAAGCAGGCTGTCATGTGCCTTTTACTGAGGATTGGTTCCGTCTGGCCATTCTACAATAAAGGCCTGATTGGTGGAGCGCTGCAGAAATGATTGTCCTTCTGAAAGGTTCTCCCATCTCCACAGAAGAACTCTGTAGCTCTGTCAGAGTGACCATCGGGTTCTTCGTCACCTCCCTGACCAAGGCCCTTCTCCCTTGATTGCTCAGTTTGGCCGGGCGGCCAGCTCTAGGAAGAATCTCGGTGGTTCCAAATTTCTTCCATTTAAGAATGATGGAGGCCACTGTGTTCTTGGGGACCTTCAATGCTGCAGACATTATTTGGTATCCTTCCCCAGATCTGTCCCTGTCTTGGAGCTCTACGGACAATTCCTTCGACCTCATGGCTTGGTTTTTGCTCTGACATGCATTGTCAGCTGTGGGACCTTATATAGACAGGTGTGTGCCTTTCCAAATCATGTCCAATCAATTGAATTTACCACAGGTGGACTCCAATCAAGTTGTAGAAACATCTCAAGGATGATACAATGAAACAGGATGCACCTGAGCTCAATTTCGAGTCTCATAGCAAAGGGTCTGAATACTTATGTAAATAAGATATTGTTGTATTTTTATTTTTTATAAATGTGCAAACATTTCTTAAAACCTTTTTTCGCTTTGCCATGATGGGGTATTGTGTGTAGATTGATGAGGAAAAACATTTATTTAATCAATTTTAGAATAAGGCTGTAACGTAAACATTTTTTGCTAAATGACTAAAATGTAAATGTAAATACCACTCACAGAATGGGACACAGATGTCTATTTCTCCCACAATGCAGAAACTCACTAGCTTTTTCCCAGATCTGTTTGTGCATCTGCCTACTACATTGTCATTTTCAAGCAATTTGCCATGACAATTCCATAAAGAGTTGGCAAGAGATCAGAAACAGACTGGCAACCAGGGTAGAAACTCACACCTGTATTGAATATTACCTGGTGTTTTGCTTTGCAGGGTTTGTCGAGAAGGAGATCAAAAAAGCCAACATCCCAACTGTGGATACTGGAGAAAACCCTGAAGTCCCCTTCCCTAGGGATATGATTGACCTAGAGGTATCTATCCCTGTTTAATACTGTATGTCAGTAATATGAAATTATGAATGTCATTGAAATCAGCCCAAAGATAGCACAACACAATTTCACAGATCATTTAATCATCTCTTTCGCCTTACAATACTACTCCCCTTACGGAAAAACCACATGAATTTCATGTGATCACATGTGATCTTATGGGAAGTTAATGTGATAACATGTGATAACATTTAAAGCAACATGTGAAAACATGGGATTCTCCACGTGACATTTTTGTGTAAGGGCCTACCTGACAGTGAAGTGGAACTGTGTAGCAGTTCACCTGCTCTAGCCAATACCTCTAAGACCCATGATGACACTTTACCGGACATTGGCCATAATTATAAGCTGTAGCTAGGACTCATGTTAGGGCCCATGACTGCTTGTTATTGAGTTGAATAGGCTATCCCTTCAATAAAAATAAAAACACTAGAACGGGTATCCTCATTCAAATCAATGGGTCTGTAATGGGTGTATCGGCAGCCATTTTGAAAGTGTACCAATGGGAGTAAAGCAGGAAGTAAAGGCTATGTCCATTCTAGTGATTCTAATTCTATGACCCCTTCTACCATTTTCTAATCACGCCCCATCCCATCTAAAGCCCAATCTCATTGGTTGTCTCCGTTTGATTGACAGGCCACGTTTGAGAAGCTGGAGAACGAGCTGAAGGAGATCAATACCAACCAGGAAGCCCTGAAGAAGAACTTCCTGGAGCTGACTGAGCTCAAGCACATCCTGCGACGCACCCAGCAGTTCTTTGACGAGGTCAGCGAGTAGCTTCCCGCCAATATTTTGGGTGCGTTCCAGGCGGACTATATTGCAGATGCATGCCAGATCTCACAACGCCTGGATAGGTTTTTAACATATCAGCTACCCATATCAAATGATATAGCAATTTGATGACCGACTGCCCAGTCAATGACATGGCACACAACCATTGATTGATGCAATGCAACGTCTGCAATGTAGTTAGCCTGGAACGGAACCTCTGTTTTGCTCAATCCCAAAGGGACCCCTACCTCCACAGACACCAGGGTTTGGGGTCAATTTAATTCAGTCAATTCTGGAAATGAGAAAATGTGACCTAATTCCTAGTAGGATTACTCTCAAAGTAGTAATTACTAACTACACTACATGATCAAAGGTATGTGGACACCTGCTCGTCGAACATCTCATTCCAAAATCATGGGCATTAATATGGAGTTGATCCCCCCTTTGCTGCTATAACAGCCTCCACTCTTCTGGGAAGGCTTTCCACTAGATGTTGGAACATTGCTGCGTGGACTTGCTTCCATTTAGCTACAAGAGCTTTAGTGTGGTCGGGCACTGATGTTGGGCGATTAGGCCTGGCTCGCAGTCGGCGTTCCAATTCATTCCAAAGGTGTTCGATGGGGTTGAGGTCAGGGCTCTGTGCAGGCCAGTCAAGTTCTTCCACACCGATCTCGACAAATAATTTCTGTATGTACCTCGCTTTGTGCACGGGTGCATTGTCATGCTGAAACAGGAAAGGGCCTTCCCCAAATTGTTGCCACAAAGTTGGAAGCACAGAATCGTCTAGAATGTCATTGTATGCAGTAGCATTAAGGTTTCCCTTTACTAAGGGGCCTGTACCATGAAAAACAGCCCCAGACCATTATTCCTCCTCCACCAAACTTGACAGTTGGCATTATGCATTCAGGCAGGTAGCGTTCTCCTGGCATCCGCCAATCCCAGATTCATCCGTCAAGACTGCCAGATGGTGAAACGTGATTCATCCGTCCAGAGAACGCATTTCCACTACTCAAGGGTCCAATGGCGGCGAGCTTTACACCACTCCAGCCTACGCTTGGCATTGCGCATGGTGATCTTAGGCTTGTGTGCGACTGCTCGGCCATGGAAACCTATTTCATGAAGCTTCCGATGAACAGTTAAGTGCTGACATTGCTTCCAGAGGCAGTTTGTAACTCGGTAGTGAGTGTTGCAACTGAAGACAGACGATTTTTGCGCGCTTCAGCACTCGGCGGTCCCGTTCTGTGAGCTTGTGTGGCCTACCACTTCGCGGCTGAGCTGTTGTTGCTCCTAGATGTTTCCACTTCACAATAACAGCACTTACAGTTGACTGGGGCAGCTCTAGCAGGGCAGAAATTTGACGAACTGACTTGTTGGAAAGGTGGCATCCTATGACAGTGCCACTTTGAAAGTCACTGAGCTCTTCAGTAAGGTCATTCTACTGCCAATGTTTGTCTATGGACATTGCATGGCTGTGTGCTTGATTTTATACACCTGTCAGCAACTGGTGTGGCTGAAATAGCCGAATCCAATAATTTGAAGGGGTGTCCACATACTTTTGTATATATAGTGAATCTTAACCATGTTGTTGCTGGTTTGTGACTCCAGACTAAATTGCATCTTCCTCCTATCTCCATCATCATCATCTTCCTTACGTTCCACAGATGGAGGACCCCGCCCTGATGGAAGAGTCGTCAGCCCTAATGGAGGGTAACGAGGGGGGCCGGGGAGCACCGCTCCGACTGGGGTGAGACGCACACACACACACACACACACACACACACACACACACACACTGTACAGCAGTTTTCCCAAAGAAACGTCCAAGCCCTCGGGCACTGAAATTGTCAATTGAAACCCATAGAAACCAACGTTTTTTAGGCTTGGGTCTAACAGAGTTAGGTGGCTCGCCCTTCTTGAACAATGGTAACGGAAACTCTGGTGTGCTAGGAGATGTACTTCTAACATACAGTACATTAGAGTACGCCCTATAGGGCACTTGAGCTGTACATTGAATGTAATCAACTGTACAATACACACGCCATTGAATGCTGTAATATTATTTTGTAGCCCAAGGAAACATTTATTCTAGCTGTGGTGGGGATCATTTAATTCATGGATGTCCAAGTCACCCCTTTTTGGCCTATAGGCATATACAGGCAATTTAAATGAAAGATGGTAGTGGATGGTGTATTAAAAAACTTCTGGCCTCTTAATAGGGATTGATTTAAATTAACTTTGAGCCAGGCATTGATCCATGCTTGATAATGTCAGGGCTGTGTGTGTGTGTGTGTCAGTAGGTCAATGGCAGCATATGAAGCTGCCACACCGACAAAGCAGGGAGATTGACACTCATTATGACCTATAGTCACAGTGACAGAACAGCAAACAACTTCAAATCAAATCAAATTGTATTGGTCACATACACGTGTTTAGCAGATGTTATTGCGGGTGTAGCGAAATGCTTGTGCTTCTAGCTCCGACAGTGCAGTAATATCTAACAAGTAATATCTAACAATTTCACAACATATACCCAATACACACAAATCTAAGTAAGGAATGAATTAGGAATACATATATGGACGAGCGATGTCAGAGCGACATGGACTAAGATACAGTAGAATAATATAGAATACAGTATATACAGTGGGGAAAAAAAGTATTTAGTCAGCCACCAATTGTGCAAGTTCTCCCACTTAAAAAGATGAGAGAGGCCTGTAATTTTCATCATAGGTACACGTCAACTATGACAGACAAATTGAGAAAAAAAAATCCAGAAAATCCCATTGTAGGATTTTTAATGAATTTATTTGCAAATTATGGTGGAAAATAAGTATTTGGTCACCTACAAACAAGCAAGATTTCTGGCTCTCACAGACCTGTAACTTATTCTTTAAGAGGCTCCTCTGTCCTCCACTCGTTACCTGTATTAATGGCACCTGTTTGAACTTGTTATCAGTATAAAAGACACCTGTCCACAACCTCAAACAGTCACACTCCAAACTCCACAATGGCCAAGACCAAAGAGCTGTCAAAGGACACCAAAAACAAAATTGTAGACCTGCACCAGGCTGGGAAGACTGAATCTGCAATAGGTAAGCAGCTTGGTTTGAAGAAATCAACTGTGGGAGCAATTATTAGGAAATGGAAGACATACAAGACCACTGATAATCTCCCTCGATCTGGGGCTCCACGCAAGATCTCACCCCGTGGGGTCAAAATGATCACAAGAACGGTGAGCAAAAATCCCAGAACCACACGGGGGGACCTAGTGAATGACCTGCAGAGAGCTGGGAACAAAGTAACAAAGCCTACCATCAGTAACACACTACGCCGCCAGGGACTCAAATCCTGCAGTGCCAGACGTGTCCCCCTGCTTAAGCCAGTACATGTCCAGGCCCGTCTGAAGTGCATTTGGATGATCCAGAAGAGGATTGGGAGAATGTCATATGGTCAGATGAAACCAAAATATAACTTTTTGGTAAAAACTCAACTCGTCATGTTTGGAGGACAAAGAATGCTGAGTTGCATCCAAAGAACACCATACCTACTGTGAAGCATGGGGTTGGAAACATCATGCTTTGGGGCTGTTTTTCTGCAAAGGGACCAGGATGACTGATCCGTGTAAAGGAAAGAATGAATGGGGCCATGTATCGTGAGATTTTGAGTGAAACCCTCCTTCCATCAGCAAGGGCATTGAAGATGAAACGTGGCTGGGTCTTTCAGCATGACAATGATCCCAAACACACCGCCCGGGCAACGAAGGAGTGGCTTCGTAAGAAGCATTTCAAGGTCCTGGAGTGGCCTAGCCAGTCTCCAGATCTCAACCCCATAGAAAATCTTTGGAGGGAGTTGAAAGTCTGTGTTGCCCAGCGACAGCCCCAAAACATCACTGCTCTAGAGGAGATCTGCATGGAGGAATGGGCCAAAATACCAGCAACAGTGTGTGAAAACCTTGTGAAGACTTACAGAAAACGTTTGACCTGTGTCATTGCCAACAAAGGGTATATAACAAAAGTATTGAGAAACTTTTGTTATTGACCAAATACTTATTTTCCACCATCATATGCCAATAAATTCATTAAAAATCCTACAATGTGATTTTCTGGATTTTTTTTTCTCATTTTGTCTGTCATAGTTGACGTGTACCTATGATGAAAATTACAGGCCTCTATCATCTTTTTAAGTGGGAGAACTTGCACAATTGGTGGCTGACTAAATACTTTTTTTCCCCACTGTACATATGAGATGAGTAATGCAAGATATGTAAACATTATTAAAGTGGCTAGTGTTCCATCCGTCAACACATTTGTTTTGCACTGTTCCCATTAGCGCCCATTGCGTCTATTAGCCATTGACGTAGTGGGGTTAAGGGGGATGTATGTTATTAGGCTTTCCCAGATCAGTTTGTTCTGTAACAACTCATATGGTTGTTGTTATTCCAAAAGGACAAACAGATCTGGGACCAGGCACCTATGACAGGAAAAATGTTACATGTGACAACCCAGAGGGATCATGTACAGTGCATTTGATTGGCCAGACCCTGAAATATTTTAATTGGCCGAGCAGGTTTGTTGCCGGGGTGATCAGCCGGGAGAGGCTCCCTACCTTTGAGAGGATGCTGTGGAGAGTGTGCCGCGGCAATGTCTTTTTACGTCAGGCAGAAATCGAGGACCCCCTAGAGGACCCCACCACGGTCTGTCATTTATGTTTTTTATATCTTACTTCATATTTAATACATTTATTTTGTTTTTGTTTTGTGTTTTGTCTTGTAAGTTTGTTCTTATTCTCTACTGTCTTTCGATTCTTTGTTTATGTATTTTTTTAAAAACGTTATTATGTATACACACCTGTCTGTGATCTGAGCGCCTAACAGGAAGAAAATGATAAACTATAAAAAAGCTGGTTAAAATTGTTTTTTTTTTCTTTTTTTTCTTTGACACACCAATAAAGACGAGAAATATGGAAACGTATACACACCCAAGTTTGTGCAACCAAACACCCAATGAGCCAGGACAACAACAACAAAAAGGAAATCTCCGTTGTTCAATCATTTGTTCCAACGACAGTCACTGCTTGATTGGTGAGATGATTTACTATTTCTCTCTTACAGGGCGACCAAGTCCACAAGTCAGTCTTCATCATCTTTTTCCAAGGCGATCAGCTGAAGAACAGAGTCAAGAAGATATGTGAGGGGTATGTCACCACCACTAGTCAGTTCCCAGTTCCTCCATTCATTTAGCATTTGAGTGCTGTCAGAAATTTGGATATATGAGTTCCCGACTCGGAAATAACCACTAGAACAACCCTTTAAGTCGGGAAACTTGGGCCAGAATGATGATACCCGAGTTTATGAGTTGTGATGTTTCATTATCTGATCACGGAACATTTAAATGGGAATATCTGTTCTAGTCATTATAATTATATGGTTACCCTCAGTATGTGAACTGTTGGTTGTGTGTTCCAGGTTCCGGGCCTCCCTCTACCCCTGCCCCGAGACTCCCCAGGAGAGGAAGGAGATGGCCGCGGGGGTCAACACCCGTATTGACGACCTCCAGATGGTATGCAAGACAATGAACACAGTAAAATAGTGTCACTTAACAATTTACTGCAGTGGGCAAAATCAGGGACACACAGTGTTTCTTGGTAGTCAAACAAATCTACTTTGAAACAAAGGTATACACCTCACACACATGGTTATGGGCTTAATAAAAAGAAGACACCAGTACCATGTCAGATATAGTTGAAATGTATTCCATTTTGGGTTTGCATGCCGATATTATACTTTATGTACATCACACAAGACTGAAAAATAACAAAATAGTTTGACATAGAAACACCAAATTTTCAGCGTTACATTTTTTAAATGTTTATTAATTGCGAAATGATTAAGCATATTAATAACATTCCACCCATGAGGCCACTAGAGGGCGATTTGGTCCTTTAACTGCAAGTACTACAGGAGGAGTTGTGACTCTGATGCAATCCTAATATGGACACCGTACCTAGGGGTAGGCAACTAGATTCAGCCGGGGGACGATTTTTGGATGAGCTGATGGTTGGGGGCTGCAACATAACAATAATTTCAAACCTTAATTACGTTGAGACACGATTACATATCAATTTTTTTATTCGTGGGAATATTTGGGAACAGAGTTCCTAAATTAAACTTATTTTTAGCTGGTGATTTTACCGTTTTCTTTTACACAAAACTAAAATCAAAATCAACAGGCGTCCCGTGGGCCGTCTGTTGCCAACCCCTGCCGTACACATAGACCAAATAAGTGCCACCTACTGTAGATTTTCATATGGTCGAGCTGAGTAAAAACACCCAAAGCTTGTGATCTCCTTGAGCCTGTATGGCTACTAAACTTTCTGTATTCATGCAATCAACAACAATACATCATTGTCTGACAGAAAACAACAAAATATATATATTGCACTGACCTGGGCCTTGACCTGAAACACACGTCCTTCGAAAGTTCAGGTGTAGTGGGTGTCTCAAGTCAGACATTTCTGATGTAACCCTTCTCCTTTCAACTTGAAGTTAGAAAGTTGAAGTTAGAAAGTTCATACAATTTCTATTTGGCATGCAACAGCCTAAACAAGTAATCATATACAGTATCCTCATATGAGAAATTCCCCATTTTAGACGTCGGTCCTCTGTGTATGATGACATCTACCTGAATGATTTATGGTTTTAGTCATTAACATAGACATTACAGACATATTTTTTAAAGAATACTAAAGATACACAAATGTACACTAATAAAATAAAAAAGTCTGTGTGTGCATCTTTCAGTTACACGTAGATGTCAGTACACAAAAAAATGTGTAATAGAGCTAAGCACAGGTAAAATCAAATCAAATCAAATTGTATTTGTCACATGCGGCGAATACAACAGGTGATATGCTTAGTTACAAGCCTTTAACCAACAATGCAGTTCAAGAAATAGAGTTAAGAAAATATTTACTAAATAAAATAAAGTAAAAAATAAAATAAAAAGTAACACAATAAAATAACAACAACGAGGCTATATACAGGGGGTACCGGTACCGAGTCAATGTGCGGGGGTACAGGTTAGTTGAGGTAATTTGTACATGTAGATAGGGTTAAATTGACTATGCATAGATAATAAACAGTGAGTAGATAGTCCGGGTGGCCATTAATTGTTCAACTGTCTTATGGCTTGGGGGTAGAAGCTGTTAAGGAGCCTTTTGGACCTAGACTTGGCGCTCCGGTACCGCTTTCCGTGCGGTAGCAGAGAGAACAGTCTATGACTTGGGTGACTGGAGTCTTTGACAATTTTTTGGGCCTTCCTCTGACACCGCCTGGTATATAGGTCCTGGATTGTCTCATGGCTTGGAGGTAGAAGCTGTTAAGGAGCCTTTTGGACCTAGACTTGGCGCTCCGGTACCGCTTTCCGTGCGATAGCAGAGAGAACAGTCTATGACTTGGGTGACTGGAGTCTTTGACCATTTTTTGGGCCTTCCTCTGACACCGCCTGGTATATAGGTCCTGGATGGCAGGAAGCTTGGCCCCAGTGATGCAGTGGGCCGTACGCACTACCCTCTGTAGTGCCTTACGATCTCATGCCGAGCAGTTGCCATACAAGGCGGTGATGCAACCGGTCAGGATGCTCTCGATGGTGCAGCTGTAAAACATTTTGAGGATCTGGGGACTCATGCCAAATCTTTTCAGTCTCCTGAGGGGGAAAAGGTGTTGTCGTGCCCTCTTCACAACTGTCTTGGTGTGTTTGTACACCAAGGAACTTGAAACTCTCGACCTGCTCCACTACAGCCCTGTCAATGTTAATGCGGGCCTGTTCGGCCCTCCTTTTCCTGTAGTCCACGATCATCTCCTTTGTCTTGCTCACATTGAAGGAGAGGTTGTTGACCTGGCACCACACTGTCAGTCTCTGACCTCCTCCCTATAGGCTGTCTCATCGTTGTCGGTGATCAGGCTTACCGCTGTTGTGTCGTCAGCAAACTTAATGATGGTGATGGAGTAGTGCATGGCCACGCAGTCGTGGGTGAACAGGGAGTACAGGAGGGGACTAAGCACGCACCCCTGAGGGGCCCCAGTGTTGAGGATCAGCGTGGCAGAACGGTTGTTGCCTACCCTTTCCACCTGGGGGCGGACCATCAGGAAGTCCTGGATCCAGTTGCAGAGGGAAGTGTTTAGTCCCAGGGTCCTTAGCTTAGTGAAAAGCTTTGTGGGCACTATGATGTTGAACGCTGAGCTGTAGTCAAATGAACAGCATTCTCACTTAATTGTTCCTTTTGTCCAGGGGGGAAAGGGCAGTGTTGAGTGCGATTGAGATTGTGTCATCTGTGGATCTGTTGGGGCAGTATGCGAATTGGAGTGGGTCCAGGGTTTCTGGGATAATGGTGTTGATGTGAGCCACAACCAGCCTCTCAAAGCACTTCATGGCTACTGACGTGAGTGCTACGGGGCGGTAGTCATTTAGGCAGGTTACCTTCACTTTCTTGGGCACAGGGACTATGGTGGTCTGCTTGAAACATGTAGGTATTACAGACTTGGTCAGGGAGAGGTTGAAAATGTCAGTGAAGACACTTGCCAGTTGGTCCGCGCTTGCTCTGAGTGCACGTCCTGTTTGATGGTTCGTCTGAGGGCATAGCGGGATTTCTTATAAGCGTCCGGATTAGTGTCCCGCTCCTTGAAAGCGGCAGCTCTAGTCTTTAGCTCGGTGCGGATGTTGCCTGTAATCCATGGCTTCTGGTTGGGATATGTACGCACGGTCACTGTGGGGACGACGTTGTCGATGCACTTATTGATGAAGCCGGGACTGAGGTGGTATACTCCTCAATGCCATTGGATGAATCCTGGAACATATTCTAGTTTGTGCTAGCAAAACAGTCCTGTAGCGTAGCATCCGTGTCATCTGACCACTTCCGTATTGAGCGAGTCATTGGTACTTCCTACTTTAGTTTTTGCTTGTAAGCAGGAATCAGGAGGATAGAATTATGGTCAGATTTGCCAAGTGGAGGGCGAGGGAGAGCTTTGTATGCGTCTCTCTGTGTGGAGTAAAGATGGTCTAGAGTTTTTTTCCTCTGGTTGCACATGTGACATGCTGGTAGATATTAGGTCAAACGGATTAAAGTCCCCGGCCACTAGGAGTGCCGCTTCTGGATGAGAATTTTCTACGAATAATATAGATGAAAACTCTCTTGGTAGATAGTGTGGTAGAAGAAAACCTGGTTCAGTCTGCTTGCCAACAGACACCTTTCTGCAGGACAATAACCTAAAACACAAGGTCAAATATACACTGGAGTTGCTTACCATGACGACATTGAATGTTCCTGAGTGGCCTAGTTACAGTTTTGACTTAAATCTGCTTGAAAATCTATGGCAAGACTTGAAAATTGCTGTCTAGCAATTATCAACAACCAACTTGATAACGCTTGAAGAATTAAAAAAAGTATAATGTGCAAAAAATTGCTAACATTTCTAAAAATAGGTTTTCACTTTGTCATTATGGGGTATTGTGTCGAGATGGGTGAGAAAAACTATCGATTTAATCCATTTTGAATTCAGGCTGTAACACAACAGAATGTGGAATAAGTCAAGGAGTATGAATACTTTCTGAAGGCACTGTATGAGATGGATTGGAGTTCCATGCAATCAGGGCCCATGAACAGCTAACCATACACTGTGTGTGTCCCAAATGGTACACTATTCCCTATTTAGTGCACTACTTTTGACAAAGGCCCAATAGGGTGCCATTTGGGACGCATCCACTGTGTTCGCTGGTAAGGGAGGGGCAATCATTGTACTCTCTACCTAACCAAACATCTCAATGGTGGCGTTCCTGCCTGACTACATTGCAGATGCCTGCCAGATCTCTCAATGCTTGGATAGACGCTTACACATCAAATAACCACATCATATAATATAGCAATCTGATTCCCGACTATGCAGTCGATGGTGTAGCGCATAATCATTGGTTGATGCGATGCAACGTCTTTCAGGTAGGAACGCAACCCTTCACTGTTGCCAGTGAGGGAGTTATCCAGTTACCCCTTGTTCCGTTCTCAGGCTTGCATTTGCCAATACATCATTCTTGTTACACAGGGCTTTTGTGTTTGTTTTGTGACAGTGTTGCATGCTAATCAACAACATATGCAATGTCAATCATAACTTGTCCCAGAAAGCACGACAGGATGTGTGTGCTTTTGTTAAACACTCCCTGGATACTGTTGGTTTAAGTCACAAAACGTTCTCGATGTGGGGATGTGCACATGTGCAGTATCTCAGTACTAGTCGGTAGAGGTATTTCGCCTTGTATAACAATAATTGTGTTGAACTCTATCCTTAAAAAAAAAGAATGTGGTTCTGCTTGAAAGGGAAAACCCTCTGTCCTCCTCTAACCCTGCCCTCCAGTGGAGTCACCGTGCACAAGCTTTAAATAATATATAAAAACATCATACTGGACGTGTCCGAAATCTGTCTTGCCTATTACTTACTAAAACTACATACTGTGTACTAATCGTACTACATACTATTTAGAACGTACTGTTTAGTCAAAATGAATGCAGTAAGCAACAAATATCAACATACTAGGCTCACCGTTCCTTAGAATGCGTCATCTAATGTGCAATTGCGTTGATTCCCGCAATTCGTTCATTTGGTTACAGCGCATCCCCTTGTCTCATTATCAGCTGACTATCAGCTGTTGTCAAACACACATGCCTGGAAAGACGATTCTGTTCCTCAAAAGATGAAAAGCCGAAGTGAGTATAACATCCTGGCATTTAAAGCATACTCTAATTTGGAAATTTCATATACTATAAAACTTTCTATTTTCGCATACCTAAAATGCCTACTATTTCGAACGCAATAATGGGTATTCGGACACGGCCTATATCTGAACCAACTGAGGCCTGAAGACTTGCGTTAGCTTCCCCGAGATAATACCTACTACCTAGGCTTAGCTAACACCATCATGTTGGCTGTGCAGGTCCAGAACCAGATGGACATTTTTCATAATTTAATCATTAGTCTGCACCAACGACCTAAAGACTTGCGTTAGCTCCCCCGGAATAATACCTAGGCTTTAGCTCAGAGGGCTAACAAAACTCTATTTTCTCCCTTGCAGGTGTTGAACCAGACGGAAGACCACAGACAGAGGGTGCTCCAGGCTGCAGCCAAGACAATGAGGGTGTGGTTCATCAAGGTTAGGAAGATGAAGGCCATTTACCACACGCTGAACCTGTGCAACATCGACGTCACCCAGAAGTGCCTGATCGCCGAGGTGTGGTGCCCTGTATCTGACCTGGACTCCATCCAGTTTGCCCTGCGCCGAGGAACGGTGAGTCGGGTCTGCAAATCAGAATGATTAGAGCTCCGAGGCAGGAAGATCCTTTTAATTAATGACCTCACTTCCTGTTGTTGTTTTGATGCTGTAAATTCTGAATTTCATACAAGATGACGATATAGGATAAAGTACTTTGCATTCTTTATGAACACCATTGTATTTGAGTCGAATAGAAATACTTGGAATTGGACAGAAATCATAACAAAGGGAGAAATTATATTGCTAGATATCAAATACATACAGTATATCATTATGCAATTTGTTTTGCCAGGCAAACTAAGCTAACTGCACACATATCAATTTTCACCAGTTCACCCAGAGGTCTATGGAAAGTACTCTTTCTGTACCCAGTTCTTATCTAAAGCTAAATGAAATTACAGGAATAGGCAAACGTTGATGTAATGTTATCATGTAGCCAAATACAACAATGGTTCTGCCCAGTCTGTGGTCTGCAAAACTGACCTGGTGTCTGTTCCTTCTGCCATTACTCATTGGTCTTCGTGATGTGGCAGCCTCCTCACTGAGTCATCTGAAAATATGAAAATGGTGTTTGTGTATTGGCTGTATCAGGTTTGTAATGGGCTTGCAAAGGTGAATTGGCATTTGTCAGGTAATTCTGGTATAGGGTGGTTGCCCCTAGATGCTGATCTTGGGTCAGATTTGCATTTTCCTCACTAATGGTTAAGGTTAAGATTGTGGGAAGGGAAGCTGATCCTAGATCTGTACCTAGGGCAAACTTCACCCCGTAGCGGTGACTCTTTGGCTTGGTGTGTTTTACAGGAGAGGAGTGGCTCCACAGTGCCCTCCATTCTCAACAGGATGACCACCAAGCAGACTCCGCCCACCTTCAACAAGACCAATAAGTTCACCTCTGGATTCCAGAACATTGTGGACGCCTACGGGATCGGAAATTACCGAGAGATCAATCCAGGTGACATACAAGTCCACACTGTGTGCCTCTGTGTTGTTGTTGTTGTGTCTTTCTGTCGTCGTTGTTGTGTCTATGTGTGCTGTTGTGTCTATATGTGTTGTTGTGTCTTTCTGTCATTGTTGTTGTTGTTGTTGTGTCTATGTGTGCTGTTGTGTCTATGTGTGTTGTTTTGTCTGTCTGTTTTGTTGTGTCTATATAACTGTTATGTCTCTGTGTGTTATGTCTCTTGTGTTGTTTTGTCTCTCGTGTTGTTGTGTCTTTCTCTGTATCTTGTTGTTGTTTTCCCCCATGTCATTGTGTTGTGCTGTCCACTGCACTGTGTCTTACTGTGTGCTCCTTCCTACAGCACCGTACACCATCATCACTTTCCCCTTCCTGTTTGCGGTCATGTTCGGGGACATGGGTCACGGTGTGCTGATGACCTGCGCCGCCCTCTACCTGGTCATCCGAGAGAGCCGCATCCTCTCGCAGAAGACTGACAACGAGGTATGGCCCACCAAGAGTGCCGATGACATTGGGTGCGTCCCAGTAATATCTCCTTTCTCCTGAAGTGTGCACTACTTCCCACAAACCTAAAAGCATTGGATTGGGGGAGGAATGGGCTAGAGGGAGGTTCCACCATGTTTCTTATACCACTCAGTTCCTTTAAAGTCAGTGAAGGGATGTGAGCAAGTGCACACTTTGGGAGGAAGGCGATAATTAGGCCAATGTATTGTAGATTTCATTTGGCAAACTACCCTCTCTTGTACAGTAGGCTACAGTACATAACTTTGGCCAATTTAAGTAATGTTTTAGTGTTTGATGTAGTTGAGTGTTGAATGATGGTTGGTACAGGCGTTGATGGATGCAGACATTCTTTACCAGGTGAGGCCACGGTCGTGTTCATTAGGGTACGCAACAGAAAACATTTTCCAACGTTTTGCAAAGGGAAATGAAAATGAGTGTTTCTTATTGGACTGGTCCAGGTAGTCGCTCTCTGTTTCAGTCCGTTTTCTTCCTTTCTGTGCTCAATGAACATGACCCAGGTCAGTGCTCCAATGTGTGTTCATACTCTCCCTGCCCTGGCAGATGTTCAACATGATATTCGCTGGACGCTACATAATCCTGCTGATGGGAATCTTCTCTGTCTACACCGGTATCATCTACAACGATTGCTTTTCCAAATCCCTCAACATGTTTGGCTCCGGTTGGAGTGTCCGGCCCATGTTCAGCCCCAAGGGAGCCAACTGGACGTAAGTTATCCGTCGATCAGTCAGTTAACTGTCCAAACTATAAATCCATCAATAACCAACCAATCACTCACGCGATTTCGCGACAGCCAATTGGGAGAGGGCAGTTCTTGGTAACAAGCTTTGACATTAGCTAACAACAAAAGGATACACACACTACGGGAGATCTCCAAAGCTCGATTGCTGTTTAACGCATTGTTCAAAAACAATACTCAAACTTTCATACCGGTTAATGTAGTAGCAGGGTCATTCCACAAAATGAGTCCTTTCTGTGTAGTATAACCTGGTGAAAACATTTTAATTAACCTAATTTTATAATTCTGTCATGACGAGCGGATGTTAAACTCGTCTGAAGTTGGTAACGCTGATGTGCCAACTTCTGTCTGTAGCGTCCGAACCGTTTGAGATACAAACTAATATGACCCCACTATGGAAAGGGGAGACATTTCTCAGTTTTTGCTCTAATGACCCCCACGGGACTCGTCTGAAGGTAACCCATTCAAACGAATGTAAGTATGGAGGTAGTTTTGTGGCAACAAAAATAAGGGGTTAAATATGTGTCCAAAAAAACAAAAATATTTTCCTGAACTTTCTTATATCTCCTAGATATAGGACAGACACATCAAAACCTTATTCCTTATGATTTATTTTTTGACTGTCTTTTTTGCCATTTATGAATGTGTAATTCAATGTATTTCTAGGCGCTACAGTAGTAAAGGCCAAATTCAATATTTGATCAAATAATATTTTATTTTATTATTATTATTATAAAAAAATTTTGCCCCTTTTTCTCCCCAATTTCAATCTTGTCTCATCGCTGCAAATGCCTCCTGTGCTCCCCAAAGGGCACAGGAGGCGAAGGTTGAGTCATGCGTCCTCCGAAACATGACCCGCCAAACCGTGCTTCTTTACACCTGCCCGCTTAACCCGGAAGCCAGCCGCACCAATGTGTCGGAGGAAACACCGTTCAACTGACGACCGGGGTCAGCCTGCAGGCGCCCGACCCGCCACAAGGAGTCGCTAGAGCGCGATGAGCCAAGTAAAGCCCCCCCGGCCAAACACTCCCCTAACCCTAATATTGGTGCACGTTCCAGCAATGCATAATATAAACCCCTTATGTATACTGTATGTCAATGATAGCAACACTCTGCAAATTGTTCACTTCGATTGTCTATAATCTATCTAGGTTTGAAACTCTCAATGAAAATAAGGTGCTGCAGCTGGACCCAGCCGTGCCAGGTGTCTTCAATGGCCCCTATCCACTGGGTATAGACCCGGTAAGTCTTTCTGTCTGTCTGACTATTATATTGTCCGTCTCTCTGTCTCTCTGTGTCTGTCTTTCTGTCTATCTATCTGCACCTACCGGGAGTCGTACAATGAGAGCCAGTGTGTGCCACTTAAAAATATGGATTTGCTTGCGTCTACCTCTCTTTATCTATGCCTCTTCTTTGTGATCTTCAGATCTGGAACATTGCCACCAACAAGTTGACCTTCCTCAACTCCTTCAAGATGAAGATGTCTGTGATCCTGGGAGTGATCCACATGATGTTTGGCGTCTCTCTCAGCCTGTTCAACCACCTGTACGTACCCCTCTGTGTTTAATGCTGTATGTGTCTGTATGTCCTTTTACCTGTAAACCAGAGCGCCAAAGACAAAGGTCCATTTGTGAAAACGTAATGGACAATAATGTTGTTCTCTTCTCCTCTTCTCATATCTTCTGTTCTCTTACTGTGGGCCAGGTACTTCAAGAAGCCCCTGAACATCTTCCTGGGCTTCATCCCTGAGATTGTCTTCATGGCCAGCCTGTTCGGCTACCTCATCATCCTGGTCTTCTACAAGTGGACAGCCTATGACGCTTTCACCTCCAAGGACGCGCCCAGCCTTCTCATTGCCTTCATCAACATGTGTCTCTTCAACTACGGCGACGTCACGAACAAGCCTCTCTACCGGGGACAGGTGTGACCGGGGGACCCTTCCCTCCCTCCCTCCTTCCCTCTGTCTCTCCTAGGTACTCTGGTCCCTTTGCTGCCCAGTGGAATATGGGGCTGGGTCTCAATAGTGACTCAAAATGTTACTTCCTCTCCTCGCCTTCTTTCTTTCATCTGCTCCCATCAGAAAGAACTTAACAGATGAGAAGATAGACCCTTGAGGTGTGCCTGTTACGACGTGCCTGTTCTCTCTCTCGCTCAGACCAGTACAATCGAAGGAACAGGAAAGGAGGTCACTATTCTAGGCTATTGGGGCGCAGCCAGGGTCCCGGAGAGCGAGTTAGCATTTGTCTCTGATAAGGATCCATGTCCCCAATATGTTGTCTGTTAACGTTCTCTCTGTTTGTCATCTATAGATGGGGATCCAGATTGTTTTGGTGCTGATTGCCCTTGCATGTGTTCCCTGTATGCTGATAGTGAAAACTATGGTGCTTCGGCGCCAGCACCTGTGGAAAAAGCACCTGGTATGTTCATCAGATCTAACCTTTAACCTTTACGACTCTTGTTGATGACCTGTTTTCTTTCGCTTTTTTCGTGGCCATTAATTTCTATGGACTGTATGTTGTATTTCTGTAATGTCGTGCTTGGTTGTGTTTTGCCATACAATGATGCTTAAAGCATGCCTTGGAAAAGCTGTGAAGTAAAACAAGTTGATTTACTTTGCTATATTTTGATAAAAGATTACAAAGAGATTAGAAATCATAAGCTGCATGTAAAACATTTTATTTATTTTGTTATTTGATTAACACAGGGCTAGCTTTGCTTGTTTGGCATATTAGGGGCACCTAACAAGTCTACAATTTGTACAATATTCCCCATAATTTAAAATGTTTTCTATATATTTTACATGGATTTTTTTCAACGTTTTGTACATTTATTTTGCATACATCATTTTAATTTTTGCATATATTTTACATATTTTTTATATCGATCCGCTTGTTGGGTGCCCCCCTAAGTGCCAAACGCAAACGTAACACCCCAAGGCGTGCTTTAAGCCAGACACAGATCTTGTGGCTTTTGTATCTAGTCACAGAAGAGGGAAGAATGCCCTGCAGAGAATCTAGAGCAATCTTTAGAGCAAACAGGCGTGTCCTCATCAACCGGACTCACCCAACAGGGCACACAGAAATTTGGAGGGGTGCGGGTGGGCAACGGGCCCACGGAGGACGAAGCTGGCATCATGGACCACGACGCGCTCTCACAGCACTCTGAGGATGGAGACGAGGTGAGCCAAGGGGTTAACTGACTACGTTCTTTCAGACATTTTAGCTCTGAAGTACCATATTTTCATTCTGAAAGATCATACATTTTTTTCAGAGCTGGAAATCTGTCATCTGTTTTTCTCTCAGTTTAGAATAGAATCTTATCTCTTTTCCCATTTCGGACATTTCTTCCTTCTGCCATTCTAAAACATGGATTATTACCTTTCTCATTTTCAAACGTTGTATATCTTTCTCATTACAAATCACCACATTCCTCTCTCATTTGAAATCGTCCCATTCTTTATCACACCATTTAAGACCTCTCGTTCATAGCCACAGTATAGAACACTGGATCTTCCTCTCAAACCATTTGAAACCCTTTAAATTAATGAGTCTGTGGACCTTTACGGCATTTGTGGTTACGGCATTTGTGGTATCTTTGCAGACTACTACACGTACTGCCTCACTCTATTCCTTATGCAGCAGCTCTGATTTTCTATAGCCTGTCACAGCTACACAAAACCCATTAATTTACCCTCACTACATCATCTTCCTCTTAGACGTTTGTATCAAATAGCAGCGCTTTTTTCTGTGTGTTGTTGAGTGAAGGGGGGAATGTGGGCACAAGTGAGGAGAGGGGGGATGGAATGGAAGAGATAAGAAATTGATTTTCCGCTTCACAGTGGGTTCAGAAAAGTAAACAGTGAGGTGATTTTGCATGAGAACCAGCCTCAGTGAGTCATTGCATTAGGGAATGGAATTTGGAAAATATTGTTTGAGTCAGAGGTTCTGGGGTTTTTCATGAAGGCCTAATGTTACATTATAAATCCTGGTAAGAGGTTTGTTTTTACGGAGAAAGTGTACTTGATAGTCCTATAAGAGTATACTTTGATGATTTCTTATGAAAAGGTTTGGAGGTTTACTAAAAATAGCTGGCTTGTTTTGTAATACCAACTATGACTACTATGAAATGTGATCATGCACTGTGTTCAAGATGATATAACTTCAATGTGGGTGTTGGGAGCATCTTTAAAAATTGAAAATAAATCACTGGAAGTCCAACCAGGCATTCTCTGGCACCTCTTCCGAAAGTTTAAACATTTAGCAAAAATGCTGGATTAACTGAAAGTGTTATTTTGTTGTCGCAAAGAGCCATTGCATGTAATGTAATGCATGCTATTCATTTCTTAGTGATCATTTTTGCCATCATGATAGTCATATAACAAATTGCTTCCTGAACCCTGCCACTAACCTTTGACCTCTGCTTACTTTCAAGCATGCAGAGGAGGAACCGGTAAGAGCCAGGCCGTGCATCCCAGCATGCTGTGCGTCTGTCTGTCCCCAATGGCAGTATTCTGTTTACCCAACCTGCCTATCTACCCACTCTCTGTCAACTGCCCAAGAATGGTGTGTGTGTGTGTGTGTGTGTGTGTGTGTGTGTGTGTGTGTGTGTGTGTGTGTGTGTGTCAAGGCAAGTCTATCAAAACCAGTTTTGATTGGATTCCCTTTCATTAACTGACATTTAGCCATGCTGGTCTACCATCTGATTGCTCACTTTTAATTTTTTTCTCTAGCTCCTCACCAGTCCTCAGTCCATCCTTCCCCACCAATGTGAATTGAGATATCAAAAAGGCATAATTTTGCTGTGCTGTAATGTTTTGCTATTGATATCAGGATGTTGGATGAAAACCATTATCCGAGCTATTCGGCTCCTTCCATTTGCCATTACAACATGTACTGTACAGGAGTGTTGTTTTCCTTAGCAAATCATGTTGGAAGCCCTTTTCAAGTAGAACAATGAGAGCCAGCGCCGGCTTTTCCGTGAACTGTGGGCCGATCGAAGGACAAAAGAGAGGGATGGAAAAAGGAAGCCTTGCCCTTGCCAAGCTAAACTGAATGATTTTGATTCTCATGTTTTTCACATCTCATACACAAGGGAAGAAAGCCACATTACCAGTAGTTATGGATAGATTAGATAAAGCAACCTAATGAGGTACGATTCACTCAGTATGGAATTACAGCATACTTACAGTCAACTGTAAAGTGAATTTGAACAGCACCAGCCAGAGTCATGTTCAGTAGGGCACACTGTAACAAAAACTTTTTGCAATGGAAAACGAAAATCTTTGTTTTTATTAGACAAGCTCAGGTTTCTTTCCTTTTTACTCTCTTTCAAATCGTTTTTCTTCTGTTTTGTTCCTACTGACCATGACCAAGCCTAGGTCTGTGTAGCTTCCAGTGGAATGACCATTGTTAATAGTAGACATCTAGTTTCCAGTGGAAAGAGCATTGATCTTAGAATGCATCCCTGATGCGCACCTCCTCTCTCTGCAGTTTGACTTTGGAGATGTGGCGGTCCACCAGGCCATCCACACCATAGAATACTGCCTGGGCTGCATCTCCAACACTGCCTCCTACCTGCGACTCTGGGCCCTCAGTCTGGCCCATGCACGTGAGTGTTACACACTACACACACGTGAATATACTGTGCACATGCATCTACGTACTCTGTGTACCTAGAAATGCGCGCATGCACACACACACAGAATAGACACACACTCATAACACAAGCATAATGCACATGCAATACTGTTCACTTTGATCTCTCAATTACTCAATCATGCACATACTACATTAAGACAAGAGGGTTGACACTAATTGGTGGATAACGACCTACTGGTAGAAGGAACACCGTATATCTCTCACTCCTCACCTCCCTATCTCCTGTCTGTCTCCTTTCTTTCTTTCTTTCTTTCTTTCTTTCTTTCTTTCTTTCCTCTTTCTTTCTTTCTTTCTTTCTTTCTTTCTTTCTTTCTTTCTTTCTTTCTTTCTTTCTTTCTTTCTTTCTTTCTTTCCACAGAGCTGTCGGAGGTGCTGTGGACCATGGTGATGCACCTGGGCCTATCCTCCAGGAGCGGGGGCGGCTTCTTCGGCCTGTCAATCATCTTTGCGGCCTTCGCCATGCTCACTGTGTGCATCCTGCTCATCATGGAAGGCCTGTCCGCCTTCCTGCACGCGCTCCGTCTGCACTGGTGAGTCTCAAACACACACGTACACACTACACATATACAGTGCCTTCAGAACGTATTCTTACCCTTTCACTTATTCCACATTTTGTTGTGTTACAGCCTGAATTGAACATTTAATGACAAAGTGAAAACATGTTTTTAGAAATGTTTGCAAATTGATTGAAAATGAAATACTGAAATATTCACAACCCTGAGTCAATACTTTGTAGAAGCCATACTTTGTAGCGTCTTTCTGGGTATTTCTCTAAGAACTTTCTACACCTGCCCATTATTATTTTCAAATTCTTCAAGCTCTGTCATATTGGTTGTTGATCATTGCTAGACAACCATTTTCAGGTTTTGACATAGATTTTCAAGTAAATTTAAATCAAAACTGTAACTCAGCCACTCAGGAACATTCACTGTCTTCTTGGTAAGCAACTCCAGTGTAGATTTGGCCTTGTGTTTTAGGTTATTGTCCTGCTGAAAGGTTAATTAATTTCCCACTGTCTAGTGGAAAGTAGACTGAACCAAGTTTTCCTCTAGGATTTTGCCTGTGCTTAGCTCCATTCCATGTATTTTTTATCCTGAAACACTCACCAGTCCTAAATGATTACAAGCATACCCATAACATGATGCAGCCACCACTATGCTTGAAAATATGGAGAGTGGTACTCAGTAATGTATCCTATTGGATTTGCCCCAAACATAACACTTTGTATTCAGGACAAAAAGTGAATTGCTTTGCCACATTTTTTGCAGTGTGATATGTGTGGGGTACAGAGATGAGTTAGTCATTCAGAAATCATGTTAAACACTATTATTGCACACAGAGTGAATCCATGCAACTTATTATGTGACTTGTTAAGCACAGTTTTACTCCTGCTCTTATTAAGCTTGCCATAACAAAGGGGTTGAATACTTATGACTCAAGACATTTCAGCTTTTCATTTTTTATTAATTTGTAAAAAATTCAAAAAACATAATTTCACTTTGACATATTGTGTAAAGGCCTGTGAAAAAAATCTCAATTTAATCCATTTTAAATTCAAGCTGTAACACAACAAAATGTGGAAAAAGTCAAGGGGTGTGAATACTCTCTGCAGACACTGTACGTGTGCACACACACATTGGGTATACACACGCACACGCACACAGACACCCACACACACACATTACACACACACACGTACACACACACATAGACACTTACAGTCCACACACACACAAGATGACAGACTCTGTATACCGTATCCATGGCCCTGCGCAACCTCCAAATTCCTTCAGTTCATGTAGTGACTTGTGTTGCCGCCTCACTTGTAATCCCTTGGGGTCTGCTCATCTGTTTTCGTGTAAACTCACAGGAGAGCACACATGGTCGGGAGGAGGAGTGGAGTGTGGAATGCGATGGGTAAAGACTCACAGAGTGAATCCAGTGCCTTAGCAGAGGGGGGCGTGCCACTGACTGATGATCCAGTTCACAGCCCCCACAGTCTATCTTGTTTGCATCCCAAATGGCACCCTATTCCCTACATAATCCAATACTTCTGACCAGGGCCCATATGTAGGGAATAGGGTGCCATTTGGGATGCAAACTAACTGTCCAGTCTTCATGCGATACTCCATTTTTCACTTTCTCTGAAGTGCCCTTTTCCCCCTGAGTTTTCCAGGGCTAGAGGTCATATGGAAAAATAGCTCTGCGCAGTGTAACCAAATAGACAGAGACTGTAGGTAGACAGGCGAGGGGCTATCTTTTTAAGGGTTGAAGAACGAAATAAACAAAAAACTCACTATGGTTCTTTTTTACTTTGTTAGTGGTCTATCTTTCTTAGGTAAAGGTTTTTGGCATGTTACGTAAAGAGTTGGGTTTATTTTCTTAAAACCTTCCTCGTCTGGCACTGGCTAATAAGCACTAATGACCAGCTTACCTCATGGTTGGGAAATGAGGTATAGGAGAGTGTGTTTTTGTTGGATGCCAGTATGAGCTTAATGCCTTACGCCTGCCTGCCTGCCTTTGTACTGTAGTCTGTCAGTGTTGGTACAGTGCTGTACCGCTCTCTCTCCCAAACATCAGTCAGTCTGTCAGCTCCTTAAAATGGCCTCCAGGGAAATGCTATGTAGACCACATCACATAAAGAATGGGATGCATTCTAAATGGCAACCAATTCCCTATAGTGCACTACTTTTGACCAGGACCGCAGAAAAAGTTGTGTTTCTGTGTTTTGTGTCATATTGTACAACAGCTGCTGAAACTTTCTCAAGCAAGAATTGTGCTAGGAATGGGGAGGGGAAAACTGAAAACTATCTGTTATTGGCAGAGAGGTTTGGAACTCTCTTTCTTATTGGTCTATTAATTAATTTAACTGGTGATGCCACCAGTCAGGCCATAACTCCATCCCACCAAAACAGGCTGACATTTCAGGCAGTCTTTTCAAACAGCTCTTGCACTAAAAAGGCATTATCATAATTTTCACAATTTCACAGTATTATTCCAACATCATAGTGTGGAAATATACTGTATATAAAACACAGGAAAATCAAGTCATTGACTGCACTGGGTCTTTAAATGCTGCCCTCTCAACTCAGACAGCTAAATATTTGCTGTGGTGGTTGGACATTCCTTGGTGCTTCCCGTGCTTCCCTCGTATGGCTGTCAGCTGAGGCCGGAGAGGAGGAGCGGGAATTGGGAATCCACTCTTTGTTTTTTCAATGCATCAAGACATCAGGGCTGTGTCCCAAATGGCACCCTATTCCCTACATATTGCTCTGCAGTACTTTTGACCATGGCCCATAGATCTCTGGTCAAAAATAGTGCAATATATAAGGAATAGGGTGCCATTTGGGACACAGCCCAGAAAGGGGGACTCTACCAGAGCCTGACCTTGTTCGTTTAACTCTGAAGTATCTCACCTTGGCTTTCGGTAACTTGTAAACATGTAAACATTGAAGTGAACTTCTAAATTGGTCAGCAGAGGAGGGAGGAAAGATTGAGTTTTTGGGTGCACAGAGACCAGAGTCATTACGTAAAGGTGGTCAGTGTGTGTTACATTGGTCTGGGTTTACTGATGATTCTGACAATAACGTCCATAGCCTATATAATTCGAAGCATGCACCATTGATTTTTCTGTTCCTGGTGCCATATGAAAAATACCACAAACGTCCAAAATATAATCTTTCATAATGAATTGAATTTTAATATCTGGTTGGGTTGGTTTGCAGTTCCAGTGTACGGTCGTGGTCAAACGTTTTGAGAATGACACAAGTATTGGTCTTCACAAAGTTTGCTGCTTCAGTGTTTTTAGATATTTTTGTCAGATGTTACTATGGTATACTGAAGTATAATTACAAGCATTCCATAAGTGTCAAAGGCTTTTATTGACAATTACATGAAGTTTATTAAAGAGTCAATATTTGCAGTGTTGACCCTTCTTTTTCAAGACCTCTGCAGTCCGCCCTGGCATGCTGTCAATTAACTTCTGGGCCACATCCTGACTGATGGCAGCCCATTCTTGCATAATCAATGCTTGGAGTTTGTCAGAATTTGTAGGTTTTTGTTTGTCCACCCGCCTCTTTAGGATTGACCACAAGTTCTCAATGGGATTAAGGTCTGGGGAGTTTCCTGGCCATGGACCCAAAATGTCGATGTTTTGTTCCCCGAGCCACATAGTTATCACTTTTGCCTTATGACAAGGTGCTCCATCATGCTGGAAATGGCATTGTTCGTCACCAAACTGTTCTTGGATGGTTGGGAGAAGTTGCTCTCGGAAGATGTGTTGGTACCATTCTTTATTCATGGCTGTGTTCTTAGGTAAAATTGTGGGTGAGCCCACTCCCTTGGCTGAGAAGCAACCCCACACATGAATGGTCTCAGGATGCTTTACTATTGGCATGACACAGGACTGATGGTAGCGCTCACCTTGTCTTCTCCGGACAAGCTTTTTTCTGGATGCCCCAAACATCAGAAAGGGGATTCATCAGAGAAAATGACTTTACCCCAGTCCTCAGCAGTCCAATCCCTGTACCTTTTGCAGAATATCAGTCTGTCCCTGATGTTTTTCCTGGAGAGATGTGGCTTCCTCGTGCCCTTCTTGACACCAGGCCATCCTCCAAACGTCTTCACCTCACTGTGCGTGCAGATGCACTCACATCTTCCTGCTGCCATTCCTGAGAAGGGCTGCACTGGTGGTGCCCAGATCCCGCAGCTGAATCAACTTTAGGAGATGGTCCTGGCGCTTGCTGGACTTTCTTGGGCGCCCTGACGCCTTCTTCACAACAATTGTACCTCTCTCCTTTAAGGTCTTGATGATCCGATTGTCACGATTGTCTTCCAAAGGAGTAGACCAATACGCAGCGTGTTGAGCGAACATGATAGACTTTATTAATTAAAGTACCAAAACAAATAGACGAATCGTAAAGTCCACAGTAACAAAGACTGACAAGGAACAAAAACCCACAAACACAAAGTGAAACACAGACAGTTAAATATGGCTCCCAATCAGAGACAACCAGCACACAGCTGACACTCGTAGCCTCTGATTGGGAGTCATTCATTCAAACATAGAAACAAACCCAACAGAAATACCAACATAGAAATACACCCAATGAATGAACACACCCTGGCTCAACATACAGAGTCCCGGAGCCAGAGCGTGACAGTACCCCCCCCTAAAGGCGCGGACTGCGACCGCGCCTCAATACGGGCTAAACAAGGGAGGGCTGGGTGGGCATACCTCCTCGGCGGTGGCTCTGGCTCCGGCCTTGATCCCCACCTCCTCTCCAACCCCCCAAAGTACCCCTGGTCCTGTCTAGCCCCGTTGGCCGGAGCCGGACTGACGACACGCGCCTCTGGCTTGGTGCGTGGAGGACGAACGGGCCTTACCAGGCTGACGACGCACACCGTAGGCCTGGCGCGTGGAGCAGGGACAGGCCGGACCGGGCTGACGAAGCGCACCCCTGACTTGGTGCGGAGAGCAGGAACGGGCCGGACAGGGCTGACGAAACGCACCACAGACTTGGTGCGTGGAGCAGGAACGGGCCGGGCAGGGCTGTCGACGCACACCGTAGACTTGGTGCGTGGAGCAGGAACAGGCCGGGCAGGGCTGTCGACGCACACCGTAGACTTGGTGCGTGGAGCAGGGACAGGCCGGACCGGGCTATGGAGACGGATAGGAGACCTGGAGTGAAGAGCTGCCACAACCCGTCCTGGCTGGATGCCTACCTTCACACACTCTGTGTGAGGCATCAGCACAGGACGTACAGGGCTGTGTACCCGTACTGGCATAACAGCACGTGACACTGGCGCAGGATATCCGGGACCGAGGAGAGGCACTGGAGGCCGCGAGCGCTGAGCCGGCACACTCCGTCCTGGCTGCATGCCCACCTTCGCACAACACGTGCGGGGTGCTCGCACAGGACGTACCGGACTATGCCGGACCACTCGCGGCACAGTGCGCATCTCCGCACTCCGCGGAACCTGCCCAGTCTCATGCTGCCATGCCTGAGTACGGGGAGTTGGCTCTGCTCTCCATCCAGGCTCCGCCAACCTGCCTTCTGGCCCCCAAAACCCGGTGGCCTTCTCTCCTCTTCTCCTATTTCGCCCTGTGGCAGCCTCCTGCTGCCCAGTCGCCCATGCCGTGTGCCCCCCCCTAAAAAATTATTGGGGGTGCCTCTCGTCCGTCCGACGATGGCACTGCTGACGCCGCTGCTCCTCTCCTGCCTGGGTCTCCCCCTTCATAGCCCTCCGGTACCGGACGGCCTCCTCCTCGGTGATCTGCCCCCAACCGAGGAGGACATCCACCAGAGTCACCTCCTGCGTGTGTTCCTGGACACGCTGCTTGGTCGTTGTATGGTGGGTTTTTCTGTCACGATTGTCTTCCAAAGGAGTAGACCAATACGCAGCGTGTTGAGCGAACATGATAGACTTTATTAATTAAAGTACCAAAACAAATAGACGAATCGTAAAGTCCACAGTAACAAAGACTGACAAGGAACAAAAACCCACAAACACAAAGTGAAACACAGACAGTTAAATATGGCTCCCAATCAGAGACAACCAGCACACAGCTGACACTCGTAGCCTCTGATTGGGAGTCATTCATTCAAACATAGAAACGAACCCAACAGAAATACCAACATAGAAATACACCCAATGAATGAACACACCCTGGCTCAACATACAGAGTCCCGGAGCCAGAGCGTGACACCGATAAATGGTTGATTTAGGTGCAATCTTACTAGCAGCAATATCCTTGCCTGTGAAACCCTTTTTGTACAAAGCAATGATGACGGCACGTGTTTCCTTGCAGGTAACCATGGTTAACAATGGAAGAACAATGATTTCAAGCACCACCCTCCTTTTAAAGCTTCCAGTATGTTATTCTAACTCAATCAGCATGACAGAGTGATCTCCAGCCTTGTCCTCGTCAACACTCTCACCTGTATTAACGAGAGAATCACTGACATGATGTCAGCTGGTCCTTTTGTGGCAGTGCTGAAATGCAGTGGAAATGTTTTTTGGGGGATTAAGTTCATTTTCATGGCAAAGAGAGACTTTGCAATTAATTGCAATTGATCTGATCACTTTTCATAACATTCTGGAGTATATGCAAATTGCCATCATAGAAACTGAGGCAGCAGACTTTGTGAAAATTAATATTTGTTTCATTCTCAACTTTTGACCATTACTGTAGATGAGGACAGGAATGTTAAGACGTGAAGGGTCTCGTCTGGTCGTCTGGTCGTCTGCCTCTGGATGCTGTGCTTATTTTGGCCATATTTGGTCACCCACCGCTCTGATAGCACGTTCCATTCCAGGACGTTGCCTCCTAGGCGGCAGGTAACCTAGCGGTTAGAGAGGCGAGCCAGCAACCGGAGGGTTGCCAGTTTGAATCCTGGGTCTGACGGGAAAAATCTGCCGAGAAGTGAGAGCTGGCAACCGGAAGGTTGCAAAACTCTTAACCCCCCCCACAACAACAGCTCCCTGGGCGCCCAGTGTGGCAGCCCCCCACACCTCTCCAAAACCTGTCTATAGAAAGTGCCTTTAGAAAGTATTCACACCCCTTGACTTTTTCCACATTGTGTTGTGTTACAAAGTGGGATTAAAATGAATTTAATTGTTTTTTAAAAGTCAACGATCGCCACAAAATACTCTGTAATGTTAGAGTGGAAGAAAAACTCTCTATATTTTTGTTAATTCATGGAAAATAAAACACTATCTTGATAAGATAAGTATTCAACCCCCTGAGTCAATACATGTTAGAATCACCTTTGACAGCTATTACAGCTGTGAGTCTTTCTGGGTAAGTCTCTAAGAGCTTTGCACACCTGGATTGTGCAATAGTTTCCCATTATTCTTTCAAATATTTGTCAAACTCTGTCATGTTGGTTGTTGATCATTGCCATTTGCCATAGATTTTCAAGCCAATTTAAGTCAAAACTGTAACTAGGCCACTCAGGAACATTCAATGTCGTCTTGGTAAGCAACTCCAGTGTTACAGTTTTCTCTGCTAGTTTATTGATGTCAAGCAGTACGAATCAGTGAGAAGTGTTCTCCCCGTTTCATTGTTGTTTTCAGTCATAGTTAGTATTTCGTATGTTTGCTGTCATCCTGTTTTTGGAGACCAATTTGCTCCACCTTTATTTGTATAAGTCTGTTATTTTGTATCCTGGATTTGGGACCACAAGTAAAGATCCTTGTTTCACCATCTTTGCCTACTGTGTATCCTGCACCGCACCTGGGCCTTGGGTTTTAGGTTATTGTTCTGCTGAAAGGTGAATTTGTCTCCCAGTGTCTTTTGGAAAGCAGACTGAACCAGGTTTTCCTCTAGGATTTTGCCTGTGCTTAGCTCTATTCCATTTATTTTTATCCTACGAAAACTCCCTAGTCCTTGCCGATGGTGATGGTGCCAGGTTTCCTCCAGACGTGACGCTTAGCATTCAGGCCAAAGAGTTCAATCTTGGTTTCATCAGACCAGAGAATCTTGTTTCTCATGGTCTGAGAGTCCTTTAGGTGCCTTGTGGCAAACTCCAAGCGGGCTGTCATGTGCCTTTTACTGAAGAGTGGCATCCATCTGGCCTCTCTACCATAAAGGACTGATTGGTGGAGTGCTGCAGAGATGGTTGTCCTTCTGGAAGGTTCTCCCATCTCTACAGAGGAACTCTGGAGCTCTGTCAGAGTGACCATCGGGTTCTTTGTCACCTCCCTGACCAAGGCCCTTCTCCCCCGATTGCTCAATTTGGCCGGGCGGCCAGCTCTAGGAAGAGTTGGTGATTCCAAACATCTTCCATTTAAGAATGATGGAGGCCACTGTGTTCTTGGGGACCTTCAATGCTTCAGAAATGTTTTGGTACCCTTCCCCAGATCTGTACCTCGACACAATCCTTTCTCGGAGCTCTACGGACAATTCCTTTGCTCTGACGTGCACTGTCAACTGTGGGACCTTATACAGACAGTTGTCTGCCTTTCCAAATCATTTCCAATCAATTGAATTTACCACCGGTGGACTTCAATTAAGTTTTAGAAACATCTCAAGGATGATCAATGGAAACAGGATGCACCTGAGCTCAATTTCGAGTCTCATAGCAAAGGGTCTGAATACTTATGTAAATAAGGTATCTTTCTTTTATTTTTTACATTTGCAAACATTTCTAAAAACCTGTTTTCACTTTGTCATTATGGGGTATTGTGTGTAGACTGATGAGGGACATAAAAAAAAAAAAAAAAAATACATAAAATAAAGCTGTAATGTAACAAAATGTGGAAAAAGGGAAGGGGTCTGAATACTTTCCGAATTCACTGTATGCGTATCTTTCGGCAGGGTTGGGTTAAAAACGGAAGTACAATTTCGGTTGGACCTTGTGTGCAATTCACTATAATTATCTTAATCTTAATCCCTCTGCCCTTGCTTACTTCCCTTGGCAGATTTGATAGAACTACATAGGGGAAATCAGTATGATGGAAACTAGTTGGAGCTATTGCTTACTTCCACCCATCCAGTTATCTCAGATCTGCCAGAGGAGTGAATGAGGACAGAGGAGAGAGGGAATAAAGTGCAGCCTCAGTCACTGGTAAAATACTGGCGTCTCCCCTCCCCCCCTCCCTCCCCACTCCTACCCCCTCTCTGGGAAAAAACCTGATAGCTTTATCAAAGGATGATCGACAAGGGGCTAGCTACATGTAGCTTAGCAGTATAACATATCAGTCATATAATTCAAATGCAAATGGAAGGGTTCCACTTTTTAAAAAGTCATTTTTATCCTTTTCTTAATGTAAATATTGTTAGGTAAGCACACAAAAAGAAGTTGACTTCACTAGGCTTCTCACCAGTTGTCAGCAAGTGGAAGCTGCTGTGTATGTTGCGTTCAGCCAGTTGAAAAGATATTCAGCAACTGTTGGGTAGGACAATCCACCTTGAAAGCAAAGTAGTGACAGCATTAATTTTTCTCTGCAGTGGATCCAGGAGTTAAAATGTTTATTCTTTAAGGTTTGTCCTTATTCAGAGAGGAGATGGTGTTACTGCCAAGCATCTGGCCTCGTAACTGAGGAAAGAACATGCTGCTTGTTAAAGACTGAAATGTGGGATAATGGTGCCGTTCAAAGACCGTCCAAGTTTATTTTAGGCTTTTCGACTCGCGTCCAGGAAATGGTGGACCAAGTATCGTAATTGACTATGATACTTCGTAATTGGTCTTGAAATCCGAGAGGCAACCATTTTTTTTTTGTGTGTTGTAAACCACTGATATTTTGAGGTCCTTTTTGTCTCTTTTTTTAGGGTGGAGTTCCAGAATAAGTTCTACACGGGGCAGGGCTTCAAGTTCGTCCCCTTCTCCTTCGAGAGCATCCTGGAGGGGCGATTCGATGAGTAAACTAGCTCGGCCCCTCCCTGACAAATCCCAGACGAACATCCCCCACCCCCAGGCTTTTTCTCTATAAACGTTTCTGCATGGACCCCCAAACTGCAGCTCTCTTACCCCCTCTAGGAGTCATGTTGTGACGTGTCGGTTCGTGAGTTGTGTATCTATGCTCCTCTTTGCTCCACTCCATCCTCGCAATGTTGTGAAGTGTTGTTGTTTTCCATTTTCAAGAAACTCCCTCCTCCTTCCGTGATGCCATAAGAAGTTGCTACATTAAAAGGAGATGACCTTGTGTGTGTCGTGTTTCACCCATGAGTTTATCATTTGCTCTTCATTCATATGAAAGATGGTCATGGAGGGTTATTAGACAACACCTTTCAATTGACTGGTAATCTCCTGCATATGGCTATGTAATGACAGCTGTTTACAACATGTGTATGTAATGATGTTATCCCATAACACTACTGATACTTACGTCATTCAATTTTGTGAAAGTGGTGAAGAGACAAAATGATGGGTCGGTGACAAAGTAGCAACGCTGTCAGTTTATTCTATGGCATCCTATGGCATCTGCATTCCCTCAATGTGACTGGTGTAAAATGTTCTGGTATATCTATTCAAAGAGAATGTCCCCTGTGTGTTGTGGCTCTCCCTGTATGTATTGTTTTGTGCAGCATGACCTAGCTATTAGCGTGACCGTGTCAAGAGGAAATCATAACAGATGCTTCCTGCTAAGGATATGACCAAATTGAGATGGAGAGATTATGGGGACATGTTCAGAAGCAGTTTGATTTTACTGTATTTTCTGAACCCACTCCATTGAGGAGCAGGCAGGGCAATATTTAAATCAAACATAAAAGGCGTTTCTATTGGTTACTGTACTGTACTAATTTACTTTCCCCTACTTGCAGCTACAGTATGAGGATACACTGTATTGTTGTTTATGATACTGTAGGACTTACACATCATATTATTTCAAATGCTAGATTTATAGATTTATAGTAGCCTATTCTACCCTTAAACTCATATGATGAAAACAACACTCTCTTTGGTTCATATCGGTGGTTGTGTGTGATGTGGGCTGTCAAGTAATGAAACATATCTATCAAAATACACACATTAAGTCCTCTCTAGTACAATCCTGTGGTTTGTAGTCATTAACAAATATTGATTTTGTATTATTTTCATTCTGTGAATACATATTTTAACCGGTTGTCAATGTGGTCATATGAATTGTTGTGTTGTGCGTATGTGTGCGTGTGCATTTGTGCATGCCTGCAGAAGGGATTGGCCTCTATTAAAAAAAAAGTCCTGTTGTTAACGATCGAATTTACTCTGCAGTGTAAAATTATTATTTTTTACATGTGCTCTGTCAGTTGACGTTTGTACATGATAGCAGTCAGATGTGCAGCTAAACGTGTATGTGACCAATACAATTTGATTTGATGTGTTTGTGAAGCTAACTATTAAAACAAAGCGTTTGGGGAATGGCCCTAGTGTCCTCTCTTTCATATCGTGATTGTTATTCATTATTTACAGTAACTGTAGTTTTTCAGAGGTATACCCATCAGCTTTAAATGGATAGTTCACCCAAATTACAATATTACATATTGGTTTCCTTACCCTGTAAGCAGTCTATGGACAAGGTAAGACAGGAATCCATGCTTTGGTTTTGTTTACCTGGATACTGTCTCCAAATGCTAACTTTTTAGCATAGACTGCTTACAGGGTAAGGAAACCGATATGTAATTGTGTAATTTGGGTGAACTATCCCTTTACCAGTCATCGATACCTCAAATTCCCATGGTCAAGCACATACTTCCATCCACCATCATCATCCCTGGATTTCTGAACTCACTTCTTAGGGTTCTTGTTTTTTTGATTCCCTGGTCTATTGTTGAATACTTCAGTAATTGATTTCCATGTATGAAGGTAAAGCCCTCAGAGATTTACAGGCCTCCTTTGTTTGAAACGAGAGGAACAATATCAACAAGGCCCTGAATACACAAAAGGGGAGCTCCGCTGCCAAGCCACCCCACCCACTTCCCAATCCCCCCCTTCCATATGGCCTCAGAAGCCTGTGGAAACAAACAACCTGTTAGGACAATGCATCGTTTTAATGGGAATTCCAGGCTCACCTCTCGTACCTCTTCCTGATCAAATCCAGGCATACAACAGCCATACTCAAAAGGCGGTCCGCGTTCCGCATCCGGACCCAGAACTGGGTCAATACGGACCGTGGGTCCTGTCAAAAAGGAACTAAGTTGGCCTTTCAACTTACTTTTAAGAGTTGTAATAGTAGAGTGCACAGCTTGCAATTTGAAAATGTCCTCTTGTTATGTCATTTACTTACAGACCGTAGAAATCCATTTACATGTATAATTTATAGCTAGGTTTTTTTAGCCCCATTGATTGTGTTGTAACGTTTGAGTCGCTCAAATGAACACATGTAAGACATGGCAAAATTATCTTTCCACCCCATGGCAGAATGTGTGTAATTGCAGGAAATTAGCTTTAAAACTGCAAAATGTTCTCTCCAGCTGGCAAAAGGGGTTTGAACAGTTTATGCTGTGTGTGTTTAACCATAGAAATAAACGTGGCACAGTTTGCACAGGGGTTGCATGTGCAACAGTGTTGCTTTTGTCCCTCTCCTCGCCCCTACCTGGGCTTGAACCATGAACCCTCTGCACACATCGACAACAGTCACCCTCGAAGCACCGTTACCAGTCGCTCCACGAATTCCGCGAAATGGAAACAAATACTTAAAGGACTCAGAGTGAGTGACGTCACCGATTGAAACGCTACCAGCACGCACCGCTGACTAGCTAGCCATTTCACACCGGTTACACATGGGTCGCGAGATAGGGGTTTGTTACTATGCCGATAAATGACAATTATCCAGCTGGACCTTGCCACCTAGGAAATTTGTGTGACCGGACCATCTCAAATAGTATTTGAGTACCCCTGCTGTACACAATCTGTACACAAGGCACTTCAATTATGTAACTCACAGTTACTGGGTTTGATGAATTTGCATTTATTGTCAAAATTATTTCTCTACATAGGCCTACAGGTAATTTTTCCAAATCTGCTGTGTGCCACTTTGAAACTTCTTAAATCACAACTGAAGAAGATTGTTTTTGGAATTACGTTGGCCTAGACTAATTAGCCTAATTGTCCCTCTTTTCGTAGGCTAAATAGTCTAGGCCATGTGGATTATGTTTTATGTACAAACTGGTTGCCCGGGGACACGAGTGTATTAACAGCTGGGCACATTAAGCCCAGACGATTGTGGAGATCCATAGCGCTTACTACCGGCTGCCCAGGCTATCATGAGGCACTTGGCAACAATCCACTGCAAAATAAAATGTGCCAGGGTGCACTCCCGCGTTTTTCTCTGACGCACATAGGAGGGAGGCTGGGGAGCTCCAGTACAGTAGGTGGCAGTAATGCACATAACGTTGGATTCCAACCGCCGATAAACCCCACAGAAGAAGAATCGGCATGGGCGACAACGGTAGCTAGCTATAGCTAGTACACACCGGTAGGCAGTGTCCTTCGCCCCCGCCTGTCGGCCACTGTTTCCCCAGTTCTGTTAACGCTAGCAGACAGTGTCACCCCCGCCTCCCGCCTGCTGTGTACCGGAGTAGCTAGCGGTAGGTGACACCGTGTGCTAGCTAGCTAACAAACGAGTTAGCTAGCACACGTTCTCGCTCCAGCCTCTCGCCTGCTGTGCTAGTGGGAGGCGAGGACGACCAGTAGGCAATGTCCTTCGCGCCCGCCTGTCGGGCACCGTTTTCTCACAGTTCTGTTAACAACGGTTAGGGTAGGTGGGAGCGAAGGACACACTGTCTACCGGTATCACCGCTGCCTCCCGCTAGCAAGGAGGACTCCGGTACAAATTAGGCAGGTCGCAATAAACTCAGATAATACTTTTATTTCCCTTTTGACCCACATTCAAAAGTGTCACACAAGCTTGAAGATGTCGTTCTCGAGGGAGGGGCGTTCATGCAGGAACCAATGTGATGCTTGAGGGGGAGGTGTTCCTGTAGATGCAAGAATGCCCACATGCAGGAACGGGCGAGTTGCAGTTGTACACTATTGGCCGGTTTCCGCCAAATGGATAGCAAGCACGCTCACGGCCATCAGCCCTTACAGTCCTTTGTGGGGGACCTGGCCGATGTCAGTTTATGGGATAGTGTCCTCCCTCCCTCCTTGTCAAATCCGATTTTATATGAAGGGGAATTCCTTCACTCCTGGAATTATTCTCAACTGGAAAGCATTAGAGTACATTATTGAGGGGAAAGTGTTCAAGGAGAAGAGTGACTTTGATAATGTTGCCTGAAGCACTAGCATATTTATTTTTTTTAGCTGTCTTTCAACTGTGTTTGAAAACTGTTTCAGCTGTTTCAACGTTATTATATGCTATAATATGATTTTCTTGGTTCCTGAGTATTTACTGAATAGACTTTTCTAAGTAGAAAATGTAATATTCCCCTGATGCATCGTTTGATATAATCCAATAAAAATGTATATCCAAAAGATTGTCCTGAAATTTGAGCTGTGTTTACTTTGGGTTGCATCTTCTTATCCTCATGTCCCTTAAATATGTCCCTGGGTGGCAGGTAGCTTAGTGGTTAAGAGCGTTGTGCAAGTAACCGAAAGGTCGCTGGTTCTAATCCCCGAGCCGACTAGGTGAAAAATCTGTCGATGTGCCCTTGAGCAAGGCACTTAACCCTAATTGCTCTGGATAAGAGTGTCTGCTAAATGACCTATGTATGTATGTATGTAAATACGTTTGTGAGATTTCATTTTGTTCATAGGCTGAATCTAAAATCTCAACCTTATCTAAAATCTACTACCATTTGTGTAGTACACTTTTCTTTGATCAGAAACCTAAAGGTTCTTCTTCACTGAACCAAAATGGTTGCATATAGTTCGAACCCTGCATGGTGCCAATTATGAATTATGGCTACTACTATTAAATAGTAATATTTTTTAGCTAAGAATATAATTGGATAAACTATTAAATAATGGACAAAAGAATACCACTATAGTTTTTTTAATGTATTGTCATTATATGCAAACATAGTTTGGAAAATATGCACTGGTGGCCATGGAGGCATCTCTTTGTTTGAATGATGGCCCATGTCAACTCTGGCTGACTTCTTTACAATACAATACAATAGAACTTTGTCCATTAGTTACAGTGAACAAAAATGTGTCTTCTGCTCTGTTCTTAACACCTCCTCCCCAGCAGACCTTACACAAACAGTTGAGACAAGCTGCAGTGCAGTGCCCCTGGATGGAGAGCATGTTGTGGGGTTAAGGGCCTTGCTCAAAGGTAGGGGAATGTTTTAAGGATGTGAACCCAGAAGCCCTCCAGTTGTCAGATCAATTCCACCTGTTTTTTTCCAGCACCTGGCCCGGTATTTGAACCAGCCACCTTTTGGCCACAGATCCAACTCCTTAGCTGCTGGGCTACCTACCGCCAGTGCAGTATAGGTTGTTGCCTGACTGGTTCCAGAGAAGAAGAAAAAAGCAAGAACATGAGTTAATCTTCAGAAATAAGCATGAGTTAATCTGCCATAATGAAAACAAAATGCTATGCAGATACATAATTAAACTGAACAAAAATATAAACGCAAGATTCCTCTGCCCGGATAAAGGACTGACGCTGGTGTAACTGGTAAATGAATCCCATTCTCCTAACACACTCACTTCAGGACTTGGGCTTTGTGCAGGTGTGTGAGCAGTGGCTCTAGATGGTGGTCTGTGAATTTGCAGTGGCTGATGTCCCTCAGAACCAGGGCCAGAGATCCACAGGCCCTCCGATCCAGCCTGGTCTCACTGAGGTACAGTTCCCCACCCAGGGCTCTGCACAGGGACCCCTCTACAAACCCTCACACACAAGGTCCACAAGCCAAAGTAGCAGAGCTCTGCTGGCACGCTTCATGTCCAAATCATCTCTAAATGACTTTGTTGAGCTGCACAATCCATTTGAGATACTTTAGGATGATTTGGACTTGAAGTGCAAAAAATTCAAAAATTCACTCAACACCATACTGTATGTACACTGAACAAAAATATAAACGCAACATGTAAATTGTTGGTCCCATGTTTCATGAGCTGAAAACAAAAGATCCCAGAAATGTTCCTTATGCACAAAAAGCTTATTTCCCCCCAATTTTGTGCACACATTTGTTAGTGAACATTTCTCCTTTGCCAAGATAATACATCCACCTGACAGGTGTGGCATATCAAGAAGCTGATTAAACAGCATGATCATTACACAGGTGAACCTTGTGCTGGGGACAATAAAAGGCCACTCTAAAATGTGCAGTTTTGTCACACAACACAATGCCACAGACGTCTCAAATTTTGAGGGATCGTGGAATTGGCATGCTGACTGCAGGAACGTCCACCAGAGCTGTTGCCAGATAATTGAATGTTACTTTCTCTACCATAAGCAGCCTCCAACATCGTTTTAGAGAATTTGGCAGTACATCCAACCGGCCTCACAATCGCAGACCATGTGTAACCACGCCAGCCCAGGACCTCCACATCTTCACCTGCGGGATAGTCTGAGACTAGCCACCTGGACAGCTGATGAAACTGAGGAGTATTTCTGTCTGTAATAAAGGCCTTTTCCTTTTATGGGGAAAAACTAATTCTGTCTGCCCAGTGGGTAGGCCTGGCTCCCAAGTGGGTGGGCCTATGCCCTCCCAGGCCCACCCATGGCTGCGCCCCTGCCCAGTCATGTGAAATCCATAGATTAGGGCTTAATTTATTTATTTAAATTGACTGATTTCCTTATATGAACTGTAACTCAGTAAAATCGTTGAAATTGTTGCATGCTGCGTTTATATTTTTGTTCAGTAGCTAGGTGTAGTGTAGAATATACGCGAAGGCTGTAATATTTTTTAAAAAATCGTGATGGCAATATTGTCTCTTACTATTTAATAGTCATGCACATATGCGTGTCTCAATCTGAGATATGTGTATGCGTAATGGTTAATAAATGCCTGGTATCTAACATGTGCTGATCAGCCTTACATAAGTAATACTTAATTATACTCAAGATATTCAAATCAAAATCAAATCAAAGTTTATTGGTCGCATACACAGATTTGCAGATGTTATCGCAGGTGCGGCGAAATGCTTGTGTTTCTTGCCCCAACAGTGCAGTAAAACCTAGTAGTACAAAACAATACACACATAATCCAAAAAGTTAAAAGAAAGAAATTAAGAAATAGCAGAACGAGCAATCTCACAGTCCGGAATCTATTTCTACATTCCAAAGCATTATGGAGTGCCATGGAGCAGTTTAGTTACGATACAGCAGATGGCATTGGTGAGCCATCCCAACACCGAAGTAGAACTTGGGTAAGGTTACCTGACCTGGGTTTGTATGATGCAGGCAGTAGTGAATCGCGCCATGTTGTCATATGAATGTTTAATAAACGTAACACATAGTGACAAAGAGGGTCATTATAATAATTACATTTTTGTAATATGTGTACATTTCAAAGTAAAACAAATCCATAACGGAAAGTCAATTTGTGTAAGCAGCAGTGCAAATGTTGAGATGCCTAGCGCACTAAATTGTGTAGGTTACCACCTGGCCAGTCCTTTTCAAGCACTCTTATTAAGTCCTTTGTCAAATATCATTCTGCATTTTTTACAATTTACTATGTACAGTGATAGAGGAATAACACGTAGGCTATGCAATACATTTGTAATATTTGGGAAAAGCTTCTTTGGGGAAAGCATATGCATGTGCACAAAAGATGAGCAGACCATGCAGTTTGACTTTTGTCAAGGACACTTGAAAACATGTTCGGTCACATCCTAACAGGCGAAACAATGGCCATGATTCCAGGTTTTATGTTACGCTACTTATTGCACAAATATACACTGAGTGTAGAAAACATTAGGAACACCTTCCTAATATTGAGTTGCACCCCCTTTTGCACTCAGAACAGCCTCAATTCATCGGGCATGGACTCTGCATGTTGTCGAAAGCGTTCAACAGGGATGCTGGCCCATGTTGACTCAAATGCTTCCTACAGTTGTGTCAAGTTGGCTGGATGTCCTTTGGGTGGTGGACCATTCTTGATACACATGGGAAACAGTTGAGCATGAAAAACCCACACACTCAAACCTGTGTGCCAGGCACCTACTACCATGCCATGGCACACATACACAATCCATGTCTAACTTGTCTCAAGGCTATAAAATCCTTCTTTAACCTGTCTCCTCCTCTTCAGCTACGCTGATTGAAGTGGATTTAACAGATAACATCAATAAGGGATCATAGCTTTCACCTGGATTCCCCTGGTCAGTCTATCTATGTCATGGAAAGAGCAGGTGTTCCTAATGTTTTGTACACTCAGTGTATAGGGGCAGGGGCACAACTTTCACTGGGGACAGGGGCGACATGTCCACCCCACCCCACATTCAGAAATTGCTTTTTTGTCCCCCACAGTTTTATCATTGGAATGTGATACAAAACGAGGCGACGGTGTGCTTTAGGACCATGCAGACGCCTCCGAGCGGTCGGGTAGGCTGTTTGGAGTGTTATAATAATGATGTCCCCCCCACTTCTAAAACCAAAGTTGCACTCCTGTATAGGGGACATGAGGAGTAGTCTACCAATATGGCGGACGGTGGATTTAGAACAAATTGTAGTCTCATCAAGTTATTTAAAATAAATGACACAAATTATATTATAATTATCTTGATATTTAAGATGAAATGTTTGTATGAAATATAATCCTATATTCTTACATTAAGTCTTTTTTTTTGGGATTAATTACCAAACTAGGAGCTATAGGCCTATAAGGAGTGGGAGTAGAACCTAGACGCAGCTGTCTGGAATCAAAGATTTGACACGGTAACAACATGAGATCAACTGATCTGCTGGTTTATTCTTGTGGGTTTTTAGTTACATGCAAGTTTGTTTCAACACGCAGGTGGATGCAATTTCCCGTGAGAAGCGTTTTAAGGAATCCAGCGCTAATACAGAGCTGCATGTGGTTCTGCCTGGTGGTTGCAATTGGCCAGCAAAGTCATTCATCTCTATTTACACAACGACCTGTGCACACACACACACACTGGAAAAATATCAATAAAGACATCCTGCTTTTTCGGTTTCATTCTCCTCTGAAAATAACACTTTGCACTACTCAGAGGTCATCTGCAAACAAACGCTAAATGAAAATACAAATATTTATGAGAAGTTATTGAAACTTTATTGGACTATTCTTTTCAGAGCTTCTTTTGTTTTCTTTCTGGCATCAAACATATTCATTGAATACTCAGGAACATAAAAAGATGGGATATTGATTCGTAATAGAGCTTTTAGAGTGAAAGCTTTCATGAACTGAAAATGTATTATGATTACTCTCATCATAATATGTAACACATTATCAATACCTGGGCAAAAATTATTGCTCTTGGTTTGCTAACAGTTAAAGTCACTTATTTCCTTGAACACCTTTCCCCCAGTAGTGAACTCCAATGCTTTCCAGTTGAGAATATTTCCTGGAGTAAAGTTTTTCCCCAGCATATACAATTTGATTTGGCAGGGAGAGATGACACTGTCCCAGAAGTGGACATCGGTAACATCCCCCACAAAGGATTGTGATGCTACAAAACCTCCACTATAACTGCCTTGGTTTTGACCTAAGATTATACTTGGTTTTCCATTTATAGGGCCATTTGGCTTAAGAATCTTTGATGTACTTCGTCTCCCATTCGCCCACATCTGGGTGAGACCAGTTTTAGAGTCCCATGTGCCACAAAAAGAGATCCATGCATTTCTATTTTCCGGCAACCCTTTGATAGTAACAGAATCTCCTCTGATATTCAGTTTATACCCACCAGTTGATTGGAAACACAGATTGATATCTTTGGAATCAGAGGGGGTTGCTAGAGAAAAAAGGGACTGGTCTCGGTGTATCTCAGTGAAGAACCTCTGACACATGGTCATAGCAATAACAGGCTTTGAGACGTTGGCAGAGAGTTTTACAAATGAGTTGCTTGCCTCATCTGGGATGATGAACTTTTTCCCTGAGAGATCTGTATGGGTTAAAAATGAGGGAAGGAGAAAAGCTCACCAACAGAAATGTACAGAAAGCAACTTGACCTAGTATGTCTTGATGTACTGTATGATGAATATATAGAGCTTTGCTTAGTTATTTCACCACAGATTAGCAGCGATGCAACCTGATCGGAAGAGGAGTTACGGACACTCAATGACAGCAAATATTTGAACAGTTATGTCCATGTAGGGCCAGATCTACTACATGGTTAAAATTACAAGTGAAAACTAACTTTGGAGAGATCGCTCACCTTGATATTCACCATAACAGCCATAGATCAGAGCCAGCAGAAACAGCAGCCTCTCCATCCACTTTAGTACACTGTAAAAAGAGAACAACAAAATGTACTGAAAGTATCACATCTGCTGCCTGTTAAACCTGCCTTTAAGAACCATTCTGGGTTCTTTGCAGACAAAAAAAGTGCCAAATGTTGCCAATCTGCATAATCAATTGAAAAACTATTCTATTTAGTAAAGTCATTAAAATTACCTTTCCATATCTTCTTTTTTTTTTTACCTTGATGAAGCAAATGTTCAGGACACCAGTTTTATTCTAGCTCTCTTCTGCATCTTTCTCTTCTACTGTAAAAGTTATATACTTTTAAAAGGGGAAGGGGTGGAACTATTATGAACCAATGGTGAAGAGCGTAAGATAAATACACTCTCCTCCACTGGTTGCCATGTTTTACCAGTGAGTGTAAGTAGGTCATTAAAATCAAACCTGCAGGTCATTCATCTTTGCACAGAGTATTTTCCGAGACACAAACTCAGCACCCTCTGCACAGAGAAACAACTAGAACGTATTAGAAGCTGTGTCAATCCCACTGACCCAGAAAAGGGTGACAGTAGCCTACCTCAGGGCTATGTCCGAATTACTCCTATCTTACTCTTACAATTACACTACATGACCAAAAGTATGTGGACACCTGCTTGTCGAACATCTCATTCCAAAATCATGGGCATTAATATGGTGTTGGTTCCCCCCTTGCTACTATAACAGCCTCCACTCTTCTGGGAAGGCGTTCCACTATATGTTGGAACATTGCTGCAGGGACTTGCTTCCATTCAGCCACAAGAGCATTAGTGAGGTCAGGCACTGATGTTGGGCGATTAGGCCTGGCACGCAGTTGGCGTTCCAATTCATCCCAAAGGTGTTCAATGGGTTTGAGGTCAGGGCTCTGTGCAGGCCAGTCAAGTTCTTCCACACTGATCTCGACAAACCATTTCTTTATGGACCTCGTTTTGTGCACGGGTGCATTGTCATGCTGAAACAGGAAAGGTTCTTCCCCAAACTTGTCACAAAGTTGGAAGCACAGAATTGTCTAGAATGTCATTGTATGCCGTAGCATTAAGATTTCCCTTCACTGAAACTATGGGGCCTAGCCCGAACCATGAAAAACAGCCCCAGACCATTATTCCTCCTCCACCAAACTTTACAGTTGGCACTATGCATTCAGGCAGGTAGCGTTCTCCTGGCATCGGCCAAACCCAGATATGTACGTCGGACTGCCAGATGGGGAAGCGTGATTCATCACTCCAGAGAACGCATTTCTACTGCTCAAGAGTCCAATGGCGGCGAGCTTTACACCACTCCAGCCTCTGCTTGGCATTGCGCATGGTGATCTTAAGCTTGTGTGCCTCTGCTTGGCCATAGAAACCCATTTCATGAAGCTCTCGACGAACAGTTCTTGTGCTGACGTTGCTTCCAGAGGCAGTTTGGAATTCGGTAGTTACTCAGCAGTCCCATTCTGTGAGCTTGTGTGGCCTACCACTTCGTGGCTGAGCCGTTGTTGCTCCTAGATGTTTCCACTTCACAATAACAGCACTTACAGTTGACCGGGGCAGCTCAAGCAGGGCAGAAATTTGACAAACTGACTTGTTGGAAAGGTGGCATCCTATGACAGTGCCATGTTGAAAGTCACTAAGATTTAAAATTTTTTTTAACATTTTCTTCAGTAAGGCCATTCTACTGCTAATGTTTCTCTATGGAGATTGCATGGCTGTGTGCTCGATTTTGTACACCTGTCAGCAACGGGTGTGGCTGAAATAGCAGAATCCACTAATTTGTAGGAGTGTCCACATTCTTTTGTATATATAGTGTATCTCTCCCTCCTCCCAAAGTGTGAACTTATTCACTTACCTTAACTGATTTGAAAGGAAATGACTGGTATAAGAAATGTGGTGGAAACCCCCACTAGGCCATGCCACTACCAATCCAATGCTTATAGATTTGTGCCCAGTGAGCAGTGAAAGACACAACCAGTTGTGCTCACTGGGTGGTCAGTAGTGGGTAGTCAGCCTGTGCCCAGTTTTTAAAAACATTTATTAGATCAGATTTTAGCAATCAGATTGGATTAAATCTTAGAATTGGTTATTTCAAAACTGAAGAATTCAATTAGGAACATTCGGATTGGGATTGGGTAATACAATCTGAACTTTAATCAAGGTGAAATGTTGTAGTTGCGTTTTTCAAAACTCAAAAGGTAGTGATTAGGATAGTTTTGGTGCTAAAAAAATCTGGATTCTACTGGAAGGGTGGATTCAGGTTGGATTTAGACAGGTGAAAGGCACTACAACCAAGCAATTTCAATGTAACTAAGGTGGGAGGTTAATTAAAAAACTTTATTACATCTGAAAACCAAAGGTTCTTGTTAAATTGACTGCAGTATAGGTATGTGGTTAGTTGTTATATTGGGAAGTGTCAAATAAATGAATGTACATACTTGTAAGTGATATGCCGGCTCTATATTTTAAATAAATGTAGTTTATTCATCTCTTTTTTTCTATGACAGTGTAAAAGTAGTTACATGACCTGTCCAGTAGATGGCCTATTCAAAGCGCTGAAAATACAGATCTCAAATCAAATTTTATTTCTCGCATACACGTCTTTAGCAGATGTTATAGCGGGTGTAGCGAAATGCTTGTGCTTCTAGCTCCGACAGTGCAGTAATATCTAACAATTACATAACATATACCCAATACACACAAAAAAGTAAGGAATGGGATTTAAGAATATATATATATATATATATATATATATATATATATATATATATATATATATATAGACAAGCAATGACAGAGCGGCGTGGACTAAGGTACAGAATAATATTATAGAATAGAATGCAGTATATACATATGAGATGAGTAGTGCAAGATATGTAAACATTATTAAAGTGACTAGTGTTAATTTCTTAAAGTGGCCAGTGATTTCAATAGGCAGCAGCAGCCTCTAATGTGCTAGTGATGGCTATTTAACAGTCTGATGGCCTTGAGATAGAAGCTGTTTTTCATTCTCTCGGTCCCAGCTTTGATGCACCTGTACTGACCTCGCCTTCTGGATGATAGCGGGGTGAACAGACAGTGGCTCGGTGGTTGATGTTCTTGATTATCTTTTTGGCCTTCCTGTGACATCGGGTGCTGTATGTGTCTTGGAGGGCTGGTAGTTTGCCCCCGGTAATGCGTTCGGCAGACTGCACCACCCTCTGGAGAGCCCTGTGGTTGTGGACGGTGCAGTTGCCGTACCAGGCGGTTATACAGCCCGACAGGATGCTCTCAAATGTGCATCTGTAAAAGTTTGTGAGGGTTTTAGGTGATAAGCCAAATTTCTTCAGCCTCCTGAGGTTGAAGAGGCTCTGTTGCGCCTTCTTCACCACACTTTCTGCGTGGGTGGACCATTTCAGTTTGTCGGTGATGTGTACGCCAAGGAACTTGAAGCTTTCCACCTTCTCCACTGCGGTCCCGTCGATGTGGATAGGGGGGTGCACCCTCTGCTGTTTCCTGAAGTCCACGATCATCTCCTTTGTTTTGTTGATGTTGAGTGAGAGGTTATTTTCCTGGCACCACACTCCCAGAGCCCTCACCTCCTCCCTGTAGGCGGTCTCGTCATTGTTGGTAATGAAGCCTACTACTGTTGTGTCGTCTGCAAACTTGATGATAGAGTTGGAGGCGTGCTTGGCCACGCAGTCATGGGTGAACAGGGAGTACAGGAGGGGGCTGAGCACGCACCCCTGTGGGGCCCCAGTGTTGAGGATCAGCGAAGTGGAGATGTTGTTTCCTACCTTCACCACCTGGGGGCGGCCCGTCAGGAAGTCCAGGACCCAGTTGCACATGTCTTCTTCCTTACGCACAGCGTGAAATGAAACGCGGTGAGAGACCTCACTCATATTATCAGAGAACCGGGGTACCTTAAGTTCCCTTTCAAATACTGGTTTTGGTCTCTCACTATGGGGATATAGCCAACTCCCGTAGCACTCATATAATCTCCAAAGCTAGGTAGTCTAGACAGAATCACCCCTCAGGGGCCCCGAAACTGAGGTCCGTATGCGCCAACGAGGGCGCAGTGACAGCCAGTCGGTAGAACCTCATGAAGGTATGGGGGTAGCCCAACATTCTGCATTACAAATCTATTGAACAGAGATGCCCTTGAACATTGCCCATGACTCAGCCATACCTTTAGTGGAGTGAGCTCTCAAGCCCTCCGAAGGTGATGAACCCTTGCTTTTGTACGCCAGTATAATAGCCTCCACTATCCAGTGGGATAGATTATGGCGGGAAATGGGCCTCCCTGTGCAGGGAGTTCCCCAAGAGATTTAAAGACGTAATTTGAGTTATAAGGATCCCCATTAGCCGACGCCAATGGTAACAGTCTTACTGGCTATACAGTTTGTGAACACATTTCTTGTTAACAAACTATAGTTTTGGAAAGTCGGTTAGGACATCTACTTTGTGCATGACACAAGTAATTTTTCCAACAATTGTTTACAGACAGATTATTTCACATATAATTCACTGTATCACAATTCCAGTGGGTCAGAAGTTTACATACACTAAGTTGAATGTGCCTTTAAACAGCTTGGAAAACTCCAGAAAATGATGTCATGGCTTTAGAAGCTTCTGATAGGCTAATTGACATCATTTGAGTCAATTGGAGGTGTACCTGTGGATGTATTTCAAGGCCTACCTTCAAACTCAGTGCCTCTTTGCTTGACATCATGGGAAAATAAATAAATCAGCCAAGACCTCAGAGAAAAAATTGTAGACCTCCTCAAGTCTGGTTCATCCTTGGGAGCAATTTCCAAACGCCTGAAGGTACCACGTTCATCTATACAAACAATAGTACGCAAGTATAAACACCATGGGACCACGCAGCCGTCATCCCGCTCAGGAAGGAGACGCGTTCTGTCTCGTAGAGATGAACGTACTTTGGTGCGAAAAGTGCAAATCAATTCCAGTACAACAGCAAAGGACCTTGTGAAGATGCTGGAGGAAACAGGTACGAAAGTATCTATATCCACAGTAAAATGACTCCTATATCGACATAACCTGAAAGGCCACTCAGCAAGGAAGAAGCCACTGCTCCAAAACCGCCATTAAAAAGCCAGACTACGGTTTGCAACTGCACATGGGGACAAAGATCATACTTTTTGGAGAAATGTCCTCTGGTCTGATGAAACAAAAATAGAACTGTTTGGCCATAATGACCATGGTTATGTTTGGAGGAAAAAGGGGGTGGCTTACAAGCCGAAGAACACCATCCCAACCGTGAAGCACAGGAGTGGCAGCATCA